TGTTATGATCATGTTTGTCATCATCAGAATTTAAGATTTTTTCTATATATTTCCATATAAAAGTTTGATCTCCTATATTGTGGGGCCACCATACCCCACGGGGTCATGATGTGAACAAATTTGAATCTATACCACCTGAGTATACTTGCATATAATATCATGGATGTGCTGCTCTTCAGGAGATTTTTAAGCCTCACCATGAATATGGCCTGGGCATAAAGTGTTCATCATGTCCTTCTAACCTTCTGTCACACTTTGCATTTAGCTCAGTTTCAAAGAAACTATTAAAAATATATATTTAACATGCTTCATATAATTATGCCGAGGCCAACAATAAAAAATGGTTTGTTTGATGTACTCCGACCAACCCATTCTTTTTAAATTAAAAGATTTTTCAGAAACAGAAAATTTATATAGCTGTCAGGTGTCTATAATGAAAATTTCTTAGTCTGTGGTTTATAAGCGATTGTCAAAATGTTAGAAAATATTTAATAAATAAAAAACAATACCTACCTATCTACCCACCTTGAAAAATGTGGGTTGGAGTACATCAAACAAAAAAATTTGAATGATGGCCTGATACATATTGATGAGAGCTTTTCAACTGCATCAACTTTTTTTTTATCTTGACCCTTCTTTTGACCTTGACCTCACTTTTCTTAAATTTATGTTTAGCTCAGTTAACTTTCAAAGAAATTATCCAAGTTATTTTTATCACTTTATATGCTGATACATACTGATGAGAGCTATTCAACTGCTACATTTTTTTTTATCTTTCCTATGACCTTGTCCTCACTTTTCTTAAATTTTTGTTTAGCTCAGTTTCAAAGAAACAATTCAGATATATTTATTTAACTTTAGTTCATATGCTGATACATTTTGGTGATTGCTATTGAACTGCAACAAAATTTTTTGACCTTCCATTTGGTCTTGACCTTGCTTTATTTAAATTTGTATTCAGCTCAACTTTTAAGAAACTATTCAAGATCTGTATATCTAAACACATATACTGGTACATTTTGGTAAGAACTATTTAACTGTGTCCAAAATGTATTACATTGACCTTACTTTTCTTAATTTTGCCTTTAACTCAGTTTCAATTAAACTATTTAAGATATTTTTATGTAAGCTTATGCACCGATACATTATTTGGTGAGAATTTATCAACTGTGTCCATTTTTTTTCTACTTTGTCTTTCAAATGACCTTTGACTTTACTATTTATTGTGTATAAAACTCACTTTCAAAGAAACTATTCAAGATATTTTCATCAACCTTCATATACTAATACCAACTTTCATGTTGTATTACTAATGAACCCTTGGTAGGGCATTCATGTCCTATGGACATAATTTTAGTCAAAGATGTTTCCTATACATGTACATGTTCCCATGTAAAACTTCGATCCCCCATTGTGCCTCCCAATCTACCTTTACTGGCCATGATTAAAACAAACTTGATTCTACACTTTGTCAGTAAGCCTTCACATAAATTTCATCTTTTCTGGTCCAGTGATTCTTAAGATTTTTGAAAGATGTCACCAAATTTTCACTTATTCTTAATTGTCTCCCCTTGAAAGAGGGTGTGGCTCTTCATTTCAACAAACATGAATCTCCTTCACCCAAGGATGCTTCGCGGCAAGTTTGGTTGAAAATGGTCTCATGGTTCTGGTGAAGAAGTCAACAATGTTAAAAGTCTACAGACGGATGGGGAGTTGGATGCCGGACAAAATGTGATCAGACAAGAGGCCCATGGGCCTTGAATCGCTCTTCTGATAAACTGTACAACCTATCACTTCTTTTGAAGCTTTGAAGTATCCTGTATATTTACATAAACCCTTGAAATTCCAATTCACACTCTGAGAACCCAAGCTGATTCTATGCCAATTAGTACCTGAGAGTTGGTCATGGTGACCTACTTATCACTTGTCATTCTCTGAGGACCCATCAACTAAGTTTGATGATTCTAAGCCAATTAATACCTAAAATGTTTTTTAAAATTATAATCATAAAATTTTATAAGTAGGTCAAAGTGACCTACTTTTCAATTGTTTTACTCCAAGGACCCAAGATGCATCAACTGACAAAGTTTGATGATTCTAAGCCAATTAGTACCTGTAATATTTAATTAAAGCCATAAATTTTCAAAAGTAGGTCACCATGACCTACTTTTCAGTCAACCTACTCCGAGGACCAAAGATGCATCAACTGACAAATTTTGACGATTCTAAGCCAAATAATTCCTGAAAATATTAAATACAGCCATAAAATTTCAAAAGTAGGTCGCCGTGACCTACTTTTCAGTTGTTGTACTCCGAGGACCCAAGACGCATCAACTGACAAAGTTTAATGATTCTAAGCCAATTAGGCCTAGTACCTGAAATATTTGATTAAAGCCATAAATTTTCAAAAGTAGGTCACCGTGACCTACTTTTCAGTTGTTGTACTCCGAGGACCCATGACGCATAAACTGACAAAGTTTTATGATTCTAAGCCAATTAGTACCCGAAAATATTTTATTAAAGCCATAAATTTTCCGAAAGTAGGTCACGGGGACCTACTTTTTTAGTCGACCTACTCCAAAGACCCATGACGCATCAACTGACAAAGTTTGATGATTCTAGCCAATAAGTACCCAAAATATTTAATTACAGCCATAAATTTTCAAAAGTAGGTCACAGTGACCTACTTTTCAGTCAACCTACTCTGAGGACCAAAGATGCATCAACTGACAAATTTTGACGATTCTAAGCCAAATAATTCCTGAAAATATTAAATACAGCCATAAAATTTCAAAAGTAGGTCACCGTGACCTACTTTTCAGTTGTTGTACTCCGAGGACCCAAGACGCATCAACTGACAAAGTTTAATGATTCTAAGCCAATTAGTACCTGAAATATTTGATTAAAGCCATAAATTTTCAAAACTAGGTCACTGTGACCTACTTTTCAGTTGTTGTACTCCGAGGACCCATGACGCATAAACTGACAAAGTTTTATGATTCTAAGCCAATTAGTACCCGAAATATTTTATTAAAGCCATAAATTTTCCAAAAGTAGGTCACGGTGACCTACTTTTTAGTCGACCTACTCTGAAGACCCATGACGCATCTACTGACAAAGTTTGATGATTCTAAGCCAATTAGTATCCGAAATATCTAATTAAAGCCATAAATTTTTCAAAAGTAGGTCACGGTGACCTACTTTTTAGTCGACCTACTCCGAAGACCCAAGATGCATCAACTGACAAAGTTTGATGATTCTAAGCCAATTAGTACCTGAAATATTTAATTATAGTCATATAAATTGAAAAGTAGGTCACGGTGACCTACTTTTCAGTTGACCTTTTTTGAGGACCCAAGATGCATCAACTTACAAAGTTTTATGATCATAGGACTTAAAATGTCCAAATTATGCCTCTAAAACACTTTGAAATCGAATGCCTGCAAAGTTCAAAAAGTAGGTCACTGTGACCTACTTTTTAATAAATATGTTTTATGGCCCCAAGATGCATCATCTTACAAGATTTAATGATTCTAAGCCTCCCCGTATTCAAATTAATGACCTTAATTGTTTTAAAAAAGATTAGCCATAAAATTCAAAAAGTAGGTCAAGGTGACCTACTTTTTAGTTGACGTACTTTGAGGACCCAAGATGCATCAACTGACAAAGTTTGATGATCATAGGCCTTAAATTGTTCAAAATATGCCTCTAAATCATTTTGAAAAAGAATGGTCGCAAAATTTAAAAAGTAGGTCACCGTGACCTACTTTTGAGTCAACATGATATGAGGTCCTTAGATGCACCAACTGACAAGATTTGATGATCCTAGTCCTTATAGTAAGCAAAATATCAACATTTTAATAAAATGTAATTTTTGGTCAACTTTGAAGTGACCTTGAGACCACGCCCTTTGCCCCAGGGTAAATCCCCGTGCAAATTTTAATCTACAACATATCCTCATCCTTTTGTGTAAGTTTGGTGATAATCTGCCCAGTGGTTCTTGAGAAGAAGATTTTTTAGCAACCAGTACTTTTTTTTCTATTTTCCTAATTATCTCCCCTTGTTAAAGGGTCACAACCCCAGTTTTAGTATAAAAGGGAGCCCTTGGGCCAAGGATACCCTGTGACAAATTTGACAATAATTGGCCAAGGGGTTCTTGAGTTATGGCCCATATTCTAAAAAGTTTACGCACACCGCACAAATGGCCATAGCATTAGCTCTTTGAGCCTTTGGCTCAGAAGAGCTAAAAAGCTCACTTGAGTTTTCAGCTCAGGTGAGCTAAAAAAAAAGCCTTTTTGATTATTTTCTTTCTATGCACAAAATCTAATCTTGATTTCAACCCAAAACAATTCCTTTGTCCAGAGTTATAACAATTTATTATCCTTGTTTATAATTTACATCAATATAAATTTATGACTTTACATTATAAAAGGTGTAACACTGAACACTCTCTTCTGTATCAATCATTCATTCATAAACAGTTATCATACATGTATTATTGGTTAACAATTGCACCCTGATATACTATGATAATGATAATAGTAAAAACTCCATTAAAAACAAGGCAAAGAAATCAAATTTCAAATGATTAGAAGGAAGTACACTACAAATTCAATATAGCATGTACATCTGGCCAAGAATATAGCACCATGCATTTAATTTAATTTTTTAATGACATTCAAAAGTGCACTATTCACTATTTGTCGATGAATTCTTTTGATACCATGATACACAAAATAATATAACTCTTAGAGGAAGATAACTATTAAATCTATACAATAAGGCGACTATCATATAAAATAAAAAGTTTTTGGGATGCAATTCCACACAGTAATTTCATAATCACAGCACAGTTTTAATGGTAAGTATCTGGGATTCTAAATACTCTCTTTATATGAATACTTTCAGCAATGTTTCTTGTGAATAAATGAAACTTGCACAATAAATCACTTTGATCTGCAAATCTTATAGAGAAACATAACCATAAGATTGACTAGAAATAAATATATCACAAAATGTTCCAATTCAAGTTGAGTTTTTTTATTTTTCATAGACAAGAATCATTAATTAAATGAAATAATTCCAACATTGATTGAATTCATGATTGGTTTGAAAAATCCTATTATCACCAGGAAAAAAATCTACTTTATAAAATAAACGAGGAAAGAATTGCCTCATTCAAGATACTAATAAAATGTTCATAAACTTTGGATATTAATAACTTGAGAATGAACTGAATATTAATTGCATGTTAGAACATAAAAATAATCTCTCTCTATTTTGTGAAGTAGTGTTATCATCCTACGAAGAGGTTTCATTGCACAAAAATAAAATCACCTCGTTTGATAAAGAGTACGCTTTATCTACACTACTTAAGTGATACAAAAATAAAAGATTTTTTTTCAAAATATCACAGAAATATGGCCAAATGAACATTCATGAAAAAGGCATAAAATTTCATTTAAGCAGTCAGCTGGTAGAAATCTTGAGGTCTCTTTAATTTTGAAGATCCTCAACAAAGATTTATTAAATGTGGTTTACTCAAAAGGATGTCAATTAATTCAACTTTGTACAATTTTTTAAAAATATATTACATAATAAATAAATGTAATATCATATGCAGACTAATCAACTGAATTAGGACACTCAGTTAATACGTATTTTAAACTTATCGACACAGAATGCATTTCCAACAAACCTAAATGTACATGTAGATGTGCAAGCTATGTGGGGTATAACATTAAAATATTTAAATTCTGAGGTAAAATGGACCGTTTTCAGTCAAAAGTAAGTATAAAAATCTCAAACATGATAGAGGATATCATGAAATTGTTCACAGAAACAGGTTTGACTTTATCAATGATAAGTTTTATACACTGTGAAGACAACATTCTACCTCTATTTTCATCAGCTTTCCTCCAATCATTCCACCAAATAATTTTCTTACTTTTATCACCAGCAGTTTTTATTTCACCACCGTCTTGTGTTCAAGAAAATCAGAAAATTAATAGTAGTACATGCATACATAAAATTGTAGGAAAATAAGATTAATACTGTTACACAGAAAAAAAATAATGATCTATACTAAACAGATAATTGCTGAAGATGGTCAAAAATCTCAGAATTCTACAATGGATTTCCCCATTGTATACAATGTATTCATTTAAGAATGAATTAAAAACACTTTATATACATGTATTAATAATACTACATATTTCTTATTTGGATGTCAGCACCCAAGATAAAGCAAAATATATTTTTGTTCCTGGATATACACTATACATGTATTATTCCTTCGGAGTTTTTGTTCATCAAATTTTGTATTGTGGTACATAAATAATTATACCTACTAACAATCTATTTGTTAATCACTCTTCCATAAAAACTAGCAAAGTTCTACAACAGTAAAATATTCCATGACCTCCACTCTTTTAAGTTTGTCACGGACTTTACAAAGAATCATGCTGTCCCACCATTCATGAATATGACTTACGAGGATCATTCAAAAAATACAAAGACAATACATGTATTTAACATCTGTCCATAGTGAAACACCAGGAAACAGAGAGACAAACAAACACACTTCCCGAGATCTTGTTTGTATAAAAAGGAGTATCTTATAAATATATTTACATGTAGTGATGTATATTAACAAATTTTTAAAAATTCATGATCTTTTAATCTCCTGCTGTAATATTTGATCATCTCTGTTGAAAATAGTTCAGTGGAAGTCTTGAATAAGTAAATTTGCACCATGTCCAAACTAATACCCTTTCAAAGGTGTGTTTGGTGTATAAAAACAAGTTTTTGCAACTTTTGCTGAGACCAGTCAGTAAAAGAGCACACTGTGAAAATGCTAACATTTTAACCATTACTGGAAATCTATACGTAATGTACTAACATTAATATGATCTAAAACATGTACGATGAATCAAAACTCTTTTATATCTGTAATTTACGTACAGTCAAACCTTTTATATCTGTTATTTACGTACAGTGAAACCTTGTTATCTCATACTCAATGGAACAAAGAAAAAAAATTCAAAATAGCCAGGTATTTGAGATAGGCCTACTGATGTTAAAATTCATAAAGAAAAAGTACATACAGTTGGGACTTCCAAATGACTGATATATCCATGGTATTTGAGATACTAGTGTTCAAGATAACAAAGTTCAACTGTGTTATCTTTAGGTTAATGAAAATGTACAGGCCTTTAAATAATGCTGCAGAAAAAGTAATACACGTATGTTTACATACATTTAATTCATCAGGGCAGCTCAAGCTAAATCTGCAAAATTTTAAAACAATGATATGAAGCAATTTCATAAATCATGTTATTTTTCTGGAAGTTGGAAGGTCTTCAAGCATTGAGCAATTACACCAAGCTTTGTAACTTAATTATCAGTCTATGTTGGTTTAGGTCCGAGATTGAGTACTACTTTTATAGCACCCGTGAAGTCCGCAGCAACGATAACCTGTCTCGGGGTCTCTTCTGTCTCTTTGCTGGGGTTGGATTCCAGTTTCTTTGAGCGGATAAACAGGGAGGGATTTGGGGCAAAAACTGCAGCAGTGACTGTGGCATTGTGAACTAAAAAAGAAAGATAGTTTAATTCATTACTCATGTCAATAGAAATGCAGCTGAAAAGCTCCTAAAACCCTTCAATTTGCGCATGATTTTATACTGAAAATTAATAAATGTCCTTAAAAAACCATCTAACAACTACAGTCAAACCTTGTTATCTTGAACTCGATTGGACCAAGAGATAACCAAGATAAGAGATAACAAGGTTTCAAAACATAAGAAAAAGTGGTTGGGACTGCCAAATCACTTTGACATATACCTGGTAATTGAGATATGGTGTTCAAGATAATGAAGTTAAACTGTATATTAACTACTGCCCCCATGAAAGTCAAATTTTGAAAATCTCTTGAAATGTGCAATTCAACCACTGGACTTATACAACTGTATGTGCAGTAATTACTGATCATCAATAAAATATTATTTCATATTAGCTTTGCAATGCATACTTTATGTATACTAAAGTATGTACTTTAAATTTTACAACGCTCATTATAAATTTACGTGTCTCTGTAGTTGTCTTTTACACTGATGATACAATAGTACAATACCCTTAATGGCCTCCCAATAGTCATTGCGATCCCTCCTGGCCGATGAGAATTTATAGAACTCGTGCTGTGTCTTCCAGATGTACACAAAGTGGTCCTCAGAACCACATATCAGGTATTTAGACTTTGGACTGCATTACAAAATGATAAAAAGCTATTGAAGCTAAATGTTGAAAGATAGATCTAAATTCTTGAATCATGAAATACATGTATGTAATTATTTTATTATTAAACAATATCTTGTTCTCCTTTGACTTTTTTCTCAGTTAACCTTCCCTAAGACACAGATATAATAATGCATTATAATTATCATATTAGAAATTGAAAATATATATATTTGCATTATTTTCTTTATTTGGTTTCCTTTTTTTTAACTTTTGAGAGATATTACATGTACCATTTTGCCAACCTACCTAAAGCTGGCCTTGATCTGACTACTGTTATTAGTGCAACCCTTGTATTTACAGGTCAAGGTCAAATCTCTAAGGTCATATAATCTTATTCTGGAGTCATTAGAGGTCACCAATATCTGAAATAAATGAATAAATTCTAGGAATATTTGTAAAAATAAACTTTTCTTCTAATTTTGATGAGTGCAAGAACTCTTAGCTAGTACTTCACAAGAGAACATGAAATCAGAGAAGTTCTCTCTCTCTCTCATTCTCTCTCTCTTTCTTACCTTATCTTCACCAGGTAATGGCTCCACACCTGTGATTTTGCTTCCTTTGGCATTTTTACCTCTAGTTGATCTCACATGGATCTGAGTGTAGTATTTTAATTGCTGGAAAGTAATTCGTAAATTGACTTTAATTAACAAAGCTGTGTAACAAACAGAGGATATTTACATGTATATTGAGAGATTATATATCTGCAGAAGTTTTTGAATTCTGGGTCAATACAGGGAAAAACTGTATCTCTGACCAGAAGCAATGAATAAAGCATGACCAACTGCTTCATTTCATAAGATAACACAGTATGGAGTGTGTTTGTAATAAATGTAGACAAATATATAAGATTTTTGCCTATTTATTTATAAAACGTTCATTTACAATTCATTTATTTCAGCTTAACAGTTTACCTCTGTGGTGTAGAATATACATTTTCCATCATAAGTTCCGGCGACTGCAAACTTGCCGTTGTGACAGAAATTGGCTGTCGTGATGAGACTGGACACTTCGTTCCACATCGTAACTTTCTTCTCGGGGATATTCCAGAGTCGTAACTTACCATCTAATGAACCACTTAAAAAGTACCTATCGTCCTAAAAAAAGTAATGGAGGAGCAGTGACATACATGTACAGGAATAATAAACGTACATTACAAAATTAGGTGTCAGTTTTTCTTAGCAATACAGAAATAAACAACTGTAGAATTTCCTTTGAATTTCTACATATTTCAGTACGTGTAGAAATTTAAAAAAAAGTTTCTTATTGGAAGTATCAGATAGTCCTGAGGTGCAATTAGCACAAAGTGAAACTGAACAATATCTAACAGTCATTGTACAATGTACATGTTACCTGTATATATGTATACATGCATAGTGTACAGTGTATTTTATTTTTTTACACTTCACTTCAAAGTTGGTTTCTACAAAGTGTTTTATTAATCAATATAAAGAAATAATTTTAAGAAATATCTTTTTTTTTATCAATAACAGAGAAATACATGCATTTGACCTAGTTGTAAATGTTTACCTTTGGATGGAACACTATGGCAGTGACAAAGTCTATATGCTGGAATATACAAAGACACTCTCTCCGTGAAATGTGCCACAGTCGCACGGTTTTATCCATTGATGAGGACAAGATGAAGTAATTCTGAAAAGCATAATTAACCTCTGATTTTCAGTTTGTGTGCATTCCATTATTTTCAAATATTATGATGTTATTCTTTTAGCATTTATTTGTGACATAAATTATTTGAAAATAATTTTTGTTTTCAAGGTTTCGAAACTATTTGTATCAAATGTAGTCTTCTATATAATTCAGTCTTAATATACCATACAAACACCATACAAATATAAAATAAGACTTTCATTTTGAAAGGTACATGTAGTATGCTTTTTGAACAGAAAACTACATTAAAAAAAAATCTGCCATTTGTTTAACATGGGTACTTACTTTAGACCAGGAGACATCTAACACATCTGATACGTGACCCCGGTAAACACAAAGAGGGCGGGACATAAAGGGGGCATCCTTATCCTCATCTGATGTCATCTGGGCCTGTCAAAACAAGGCAAAATATTAATCCACAAGTTTATTGCTATGTAATAAGTTCAATATCTGTTACATAATTACTTTTTAATTGAAAAATGATGGTTGAAAACTCATTCATGTGAGTCTCTCCATAGGTGACTGTATGATAACCAAATGAATAATTCTGAGTAAGTCTTGAGCTTTATGAATATTTCCAGCAGGAGAATAAAATGTAAGTCAATAGCAATTGTCTTTTTGTATTTTTCTTCATACCTGTGTAAGAAAATCTCCCACTGAATTTTCTGACACAATAGAGTTGAGGCTTTCATGTGAAGGAGCTGGGGACACGCGAACTGGAAAATAATCATGAATTCATCATAATATAATGAAATAAGATCAGGAATGAAAGGCCAGAACGACTATATGCTATAAGCGGGAAAGGACAGGGAGTTAAACTTCACCATCCTCCAATCCCCTTTCTTCCTCTACCCATCTCTCATTTCCTTCCCCCTTCTCCCTCCTCTCTCCCTCCCCCCTTCCAGACTACTTTCTCCCACATCCACACCCCCCCTCCCCAATATATACATAAAAATTAGTTTATAAATCTCCAAACCCAGGGAATTACAATTTTTTCCATTGCCTTTAAAAGTTGAAAAGCATACTCTGGAATCACCAGTGCTTCTGGAACCAATGTCTGGAGATTTCATCAATTGTGGGCCACCTTTGCCCACAAACTTACATCTCCAAGAATGATAACTTCAACATATTAGTTCATTGAATATACTGTATATACAAGTTACCCACAAAATTACATGCCCAGGAACCAGAAAAATTTCAGTTGTCTACAAACATTGTGCCCCCCCCCCCCCCCCCCCAAGTCTAAAATGATTCCATAATACACATTACTACATGTACAGTAAAAATTGTCTAATCTGGACACCACTGGTTTCATAAAAAATGGTCAAATTAACCAACATTCAAGGTTAAACAATATTTCAAACACTATAATTTACTGAAAGGAACTTAAAGTTAACATCACATTAGACAAGATTTTGGAATACACAACATCCAGATTAGATGTTGTGTATTCCGACAGTTTCACTGAATTTGTCTTTCAACCTTTTAATTAAATCACAAACAAAAATTATGTCTCTTTGTTGGTTCTCAGATCTTTGATCATTCAAAGTAAACCTGTTACTAGTGAATGTAGCTGATTCCTCCTTTACATACCATCAGCATACTTTGTCCTCATGTCATCAAAGTGAGGATAGGCAGCCTTGAGGACCCAGATCCTCAACATGTTATCTTGTCCTCCAGTCGCTAGGAGTTTCCCACAGGGTGAAAACTTCATGGTCCACACAGCACCCTGTAACAGACAAGGGTCAAGGGTCAAAGGTCAAGGCTAAAAAGGTCCTCTACTCATATGTTACACTTCATCTCATAATGAAAATATTGATAATAAGTACCCTGATCAAGCATAATCGTAAAATCTTTACACTGCTGGTGTTTTGCAAGATGAATAGCAATTTTTGTCCTTCAACATGTTTTGAAGAGTACATACATGCATATCAATCATTAGAAATGTTTCCTTTAAAATAAACTTTTAACAAATACATGTATCTATCAGTACTCCAGTATGTAAGTTTTTAATAAAGCATGGGTTTACATGCTTAGTACTGATCAAATATGGGACAAATACAAAAATATGTAGAGTGTTTATCAATACCATGCCATGTAATTACAGGTCAGAGCAATGAGGTAATTAATCATGCACTTGATAAGATAGTAATGCAATGGCATGCAAACAAAAAAACCTGCATGCATTGTGTATATGTGTTGGTAGCATTAATTAGTATGTAAGAGCAGAAAATATGTTTGGGGAATGCTTTGAGAATGTTTAAAGCCATCTCAAAATACAGATTTTGTGTAAAATCAGATGATAGAGACTTTGGCAGAATTTTAAGGCTGTAAGAGTTAATGCTGGAGAACCTACTGCTTCAGTCATTGTACAGTCTAGATCATCGTCCACTTCCTAAAAATAGCATCAACCTCATTATCATTCGGAAGTGTTCGGGTGAAATTCTTTCTTCCTGTATGCTAGTATTACAGCAATTTTCAAACAATCTATGTGTGATAGCCATTTCATTTTTGTGATTTGTAAAAGATGTCTGTAAGTGGAAAATGTGACAGCTGTATTGTGTTAATGGGGAACTTTTTGCTAATCGAAGTGTACTCTGAACACACGAAAAGACACTACAAAAATAGATCACAATTCATGTAAATGCACCAGCTATGAACATTTCATTAAAAAAAAAAAAAAAACAGAATATCAAAAACACATAAATATTCACAACATCTTGGCATAGGCATCATACATTCAAATACCCACTCTACATTTAAAAGGAAAAATCAGTTGATTATTAAAAGTTGTCACTCTATGTACCCTTCCAAAGAAAAAAAAATACAACTGTGGTGGCCATTCCACTCCCAACCCTTTTAGAGCTTTAAAAGCTTATCATGTATTCTCAGGAATATTTAGGTCTTTCCACCTTTCTGTGGAAAGACCTATTGATTTTCTTCTGTTTATTATTATTATTAGGTCTTTCCACCTTTCTGTGGAAAGACCTCTTGAAATGCTTATGTTTATTATTATTATTATTATTCTTCTTCTTCTTTTTCTTCCCGGACTTTTGAAACCGCAAGACTTATCGAAAAACTTTATAGTTCATGATACTGGATATCAAAAGTTATTCCGAAAAACGACCCCCCGTGTTTGACCTATGACCTCTTACGAAGTTATTGCCCCTTTTGCAAGAATAGCTTGTTATCGCTACTCCTTTGAAACCGTAAACCGTAGAGGTACGGAACCTTCACCAATGTCTTCGACTAATTGAGGGGACTCTTCAATCTTTTCATTGCGAAAGTATTTGTCAACCCCTTTTATGAGTTATTGCCCCTGAAAGTTTTTGATGTTTACGAATAATTAAAAATTTTCAAAACGATAAGTCGTAGAGACATGGGACCAACTGCATAAGATTCATTGACCTTTGACCTTAAAATATATGCAAAGGTCAAAGGTCAAGGTCATTCAATATATGAGAAATTAAGCTCTTTTTATATCTCTTTTGTCTTTCAACATATACTAAATATCTTTGCATCATTAATATGTCCTCTTAAAACTATTTCAAAGATTTCATACTTGTCCCCTAAGATTTACCCCTTTTAAAGTTATTGCCCCTTTTATTGAAAACCTTGTTATCGCTACTCCTCCGAAACCGTAAACCATAGAGGCACAAAACCTTCACTAATGTCTTCAGGGTCTTTAGACACAACTTCAATCTATTCAGTGCGAAAGTATCCGATGACCCCTTATATGAGTTATCGCCCTTTAATGTCTTTGCGCTTACTATTAAACCTAATAACTTTAAAACTAAAAGTCGTAGAAGGATGGGGTCAAGTGCAATGTGACCCTTGACCTTTGACCTTGAATATTTGTTCAAGGTCAAAGGTCGAGGTCATCTAAAATTTTTTAAAATTTTCATTTTTTCTAACTTTCAAGCCATTTATGGATTCTATTTGAATAAAAATTAACTTTAGAGAGTTAAATATGAAAAATATATGAAATTCGAAGAAGGTGGAAAGACCTCTAATTGTTCGAGAACAATTAGTCTACTAGTTATTATTATTATTCTTCCGCTGATTTTTTGTTTCGATGTTTATCGAAAAGATTATTCGTTGACCGTAAAGGTCATAAAAAGTTAGGAACAAATTTGACCCAACGTGTATAACCTATGACCCCTTTCGCAGTTATTGCCCCTTTTGATAGAAACCTTGTTATCGCTACTCCTCCGAAACCATAAACCGTAGAGGTACGGAACCTTCACAAATGACTTCGACTAATTGAGGGGACTCTTCAATCTTTTCATTGCGAAAGTATTCGTCAACCCCTTTTATGAGTTATTGCCCCTGAAAGTTTTTGATGTTTACAAATAATTAAAAATTTTCAAAACAATAAGTTATAGAGACATGGGACCAACTGAATAAGATTCAATGACCTTTGACCATATAATATATGCAAAGGTCAAAGGTCAAGGTCATTCAAAATATAAGAAATTAAGCTCTTTTTATATCTCTTTTGTCTTTCAACATATACTAAATATCTTTGCATCATTAATATGTCCTCTTAAAACTATTTCAAAGATTTCGTACTTGTCCCCTAAGATTTACCCCTTTAAAAGTTATTGCCCCTTTTACTGAAAACCTTGTTATCGCTACTCCTCCGAAACCGTAAACCGTAGAGACACAAAACCTTCACTAATGTCTTCAGGGTCTTTAGACACAACTTCAATCTATTCAGTGCGAAAGTATCCATTGACCCCTTATATGAGTTATTGCCCTTTAATGTATTTGCGCTTACTATTAAACCTTATAACTTCAAAACTAAAAGGCATAGAAGCATGGGGTCAAGTGCAATGTGACCCTTGACCTTTGACCTTGAAAATTTGTTCAAGGTCAAAGGTCAAGGTCATTTCAAATTTGTTAAATTTTTCATTTTTTCTATCTTTCAAGCCATTTATGGATTCTTTTGGTATAAAAATTAACTTTAAAGAGTAAAATGTGAAAAATATATGAAATTTAAAGAAGGTGGAAAGACCTCTAATTGTTCGAGAACAATTAGTTTACTAGTTTCATATTTTTTTCTTCAAAGCTTTTGATGTAATTAAAGCACTTCAAAATGCTCCCCCATTTCCCTACCCCAAACCCCATACACACACACAAACTTCCAGCTGGCTGGAAAAAAGAATAAAATACAATATGTTTGATAGAAAACACTGACCGTGTGAACACCACTCATGTCCTGTAACATCTTGAGTTGATTAAATTCCTTAGTGCCTTTATGATGAGCTTTCAGCTGGAACAGAGAATTCAATTAACCATTATGAATCTTTGATATACCATCTTATATTTTAGCAAAGGTTATGCCTATGTGTCAGTGTAAAATTTCATTCCAAAAACTCATTACCTTAATGTACACAAACTTCCTATGACGTTTTTTTTAATATGACACTTGTCAAGACAATATACTGTAAACTACATGTAATTATTATCTGCAACATCTTTTGTTTGCTTTTCATCAGTTTGAAATCTATCCATGACAATTAATATTTGTGACTGATAAGACATTCTACACCAAAACAAAATAAAAAGTAATGGTTCGTGACAAGAATTACTCACTAGTAAAAAAGATTATGTAACTCGCGGATATTTCTTGCACACATTTATAGTTTGTTTCAGGGATGGGCACGATTACTGAAAAATGTAATCGATTAATAATCGATTACTTGGAGGAATTTTGTGTAATCGATTATTAATCGATTACACTCATTTTTGTCCTGTAATCGATTGTAATCGATTACTTTGGAAGATGTAATCGATTAATAATTGATTACTTCCAAGTTTTTATCCCTATCAAATATCAAAGCAATATTTAAATGGTAATGTTGATGATACATGTGTATCCACTGAAGCTTGAATGTGTTCCTGCAGTTTCAGTGCAGATTCTTTTAAGATTTTATTCCGGCTAACATTCTCTCTAAATTCCTAAATGAGGGATACTCTACCATGGAAAATGGAGACATGATTCCTACAATAAAATATGCCAAGGAATTAATTATTCCTTTCAACCTTGGATCTGAACCTCCATATTTTTTGACTTGTTGCAAAAACTATTTAAACACATTAAATATTCCTGTACGTGTCTTCTTTTAAAAAAAATAAGTAAATTAGAACTCATAGTAATAAACAGTCATGTAAATTAAATGTGTCTTTAAGTAATTAAACTATAATAGCACAATTTCATTCTGTATTGAAATAACTATTTTGAGAGCTATTAATTGTTTTAATAATATTGTTTGTCTTCAATGGAACTATGAATTATAAGAGTTAAACACTAGGTAGTTCACAGTTTACACCTCATCATCTGCATGTCAGGGATGTCGCAGTCAATTAATTAGCCAAGATAAGCAAACATAGTGTCACACTCCCTCTCTTACAGACACTTATAACCCCTCACTGATATAAAAGCAACCTTACAATTTTGAATGAAAATTAACATAAGAATGATTTTGCAAATTTTAAAGTTACTAAAACACAAGTTAGAAGTTATTTAAACATTTTCAGATATGAATAAGTACCGATATTTCCATCTTCTTTTTTTCCGAGTACAATTTAGTTTATTTACCAAATTATTTATTTAATACAGCACTTAAATCTGTTTTTGCTATATATAATTTTCTATTACAAGACAAAGTTTTTCAATATCTGAAATATGAAAAAGGACATGCTGCAAGACGACAGTGGGTCAAATGTAAAATGCATTTAATACTACTAATAATAATATATTTTATACTAGACCAGTAGGTCTATAATGCAAATTTTATTGAGAACATTATTAAACTTATGATAATAAAAGTTAAGTAATCAAAACATTACACTAGGTGGTCTATATTTGATATTTATGTGTGACTGACTGCAAATGATTCTCCAAAATAACATCAATTTATGTAAAAATAATCGAAAGTAATCGAAAATGTAATTATAATTACATTGGAAATTTTAGCTGTAATCGATTAAATTACGATTACAAGTAATCGAAAATCTCTTCGATTACAGATTACTGTCGATTACTTGGAAAAAAGTAATCATTACAATCGATTACGATTACTCGATTACGATTACCCCATCCCTGGTTTGTTTATAGTGCTATGTGAGATTAAGCACTGACAACATCTGGTAAGTATCTTTATTTAAGTCTGGAACATGACTGACCTTAAAGATTTTCCCGTCCACATTGACCTCTTCTTCAATGCCTGTTTCATCTCCATGTATCACTAAAAATAATTAAAATGAGAAAAATTAAATCAGCATCATTTACAAAAAATTTCCAAAAAGTCCTCTTCCTCAGGTTTCGGTCAGCTATCATGTTATTGTTATATTTCCTACAAATCTTTAAATCTTGAGAAATTACAAAGCACTGTTTACTTCTTCCTAATTAAGGATTCATATGATAAGTTTAATTACAGATGAATTCAGAAATCAACAATCTTCAGACTGTAAAATTGTGCACATACAGTAAAACTTGCCTTATTTGAATGTTGAGTATTCTGAGATCTTGCCTACTATGATGTAAATTTTTAGTTCCTTTCAATCAGTAAATTCACTTGTTTGAAATCTTGTTCTATACAGATTTTGGTCTAATCCGACCAGTTTCTATGGAAGCATAGGTCTCTGGATTAGACAAGTTTTACTGTACATGTATTTTGAGACTAATACAGATTTTGGTCTAATCCAGACAGTCCCTATGGAACCAGTGGTGTCGAATTAGTTTTACTGTACATGTATATTGAGGCAGAAACCTTGAGATACTTACCCTGATCTGCAGCAGTTTTGAGTTTGTCAACATTTTTCTTCATTTTCTTCTCCAAGAATTTCTTCAGCTTTAGTCTGAAATACCAGCAGTTATTACACAAAGAAATACATGTAAAAGCTTTTTTATTTCATTCAAAAGTCTATACATGAGAGTAAAGGTAATAAATACCCATTTCTCAAAACACTGACAAAACATTGAATATGATTTTGAAAATAACTGAAACTGATAATTAAACAAGAGGCCCAAGGGCCTTAACAGTCACCTGAGTATAATACAACAATTTAGAAGTTAAATACACTGATAGATGAAGCTTTGTTGCCCTAAAGCAAGAGAAGTAGGAAGATCAGGATCAACAAAATAATTAGTCTAGTATTCAGTATCAACTCATAAATTAAGTTCTAATCTGTCCCCCACTTAACACTATCACCATGCAGACTATTAACAAACTATTAGTGCTTCTGTACTATTTTTAAACCCATATTAAAACCTCTAGCATTGACCTCTGTTATGGTCTTTGAAGAACTTTTAATAAGATAAGTTATTTTTGTCTCATTTTTATTTATCTATTACTTACAGGTCTACCTGATTATTAAAACTAAGAAAGTACTTTTTGAATTATACGATAAACATTCTTGCATAATTATCTTATTCTATTAACCTTTCAAATACATTATTTACAGTGATTAATTATCAAAGGTGAATGGAAAAGGGGAATAACTTCTCTCAGTAGAATATAAATTAATAGAGCCCTGCCCAGGACCAGAGTGCTAAGACAAATGGTCCAGATGTTCAAAAATTTGGTAGAAATACGCTTACTTATATCATTTTAACTTTTACTCAGTTTGCTTCCGATATGCCCAGAAGCAGAGAAGAATTTCACAGGTACAATGCATTTTCACTACAGATTCAACAAAGCCTTACCCTAACACCAGAACTCAAGACCAAGGGTCAAGAAATTTACAAATTTGGAAGAGTTACCCTCATCATCATAACTATGGACTTCAAAGAATTAACACTTTTCCACTAAATTATCAAAAGGGCCCCCCCCCCCCCCCCCCCCGTTATGCCAGAACCCCTGACCCTAGGACCACAAGAATTAAAAATTCTGATCGAAGCTCCCATTTTCATCATAGCTAAGCAATTCATTTATCAGCTCAACACTAAGGAGCAGACAGGATTAATTAATGAGAAATTAATAGTAAGAATTAATGCTTTTTCACTATATAATCAATAGAGCCCCCCACCCCTCCTCAAGAACCCCAAAAACTGAGGCCATATATTTAAAAAATTTTGAAGAGGCATCCTTGCCTATCATAATCATGCACTTAGTTTGTTTAAATAATCTCCAGTAGTAGAGAAGAAGATTTTCAAAGAATCAATGCATTTTCACTATATAATCAATAAAGCTCTGCCCTAACACCAGAACACCTGACCCAGGAGCCATGGTTTTCACAATTCTGGAAGAGGCCCACCTCCTTATCATAACTTTGTACTTAGTTTATCACCTTAATGCCCAGGAGCAGAGGAGAAGATTTTCAAAAAATTAATTTATTTTCACTATATAGTTGATAGAGCCCTGCCCTAACACTAGAACCCCTGACCCTGGGGCCATGAAATTCAAAATTTTGAAAGAGGTACTCTTGCTCATCATAACTATGTACTTAGTTACTTTATTAAATATCCAGGAGCAGAGAAGAAGATTTTCAAGGAATTAATGCATTTTCACTATATAATCAATAGAGCCCCGCCCTAACACCAGAACCCCTGACCCTGGGGCCATGAAATTCATAATTTTTGAAAAGGCACTTTTGCTCATCATAACTATGTACTTAGTTACTTTATTTAATACCCAGGAGCAGAGAAGAAGATTTTCAAAGAATTAATGCTTTTTCACTATATAATCAATAGAGCCCCGCCCTAACACCAGAACCCCTGACCCTGGGGCCATGAATTTCACAATTTTGGAAGAGGCACTCTTTTTAATCATAACTATGTACTTAGTTACTTTATTTAATACCCAGGAGCAGAGAAGAAGATTTTCCAAAAATTGATGCATTTTCACTATATAATTAATCAATAGAGCCCCGCCCTAACACCAGAACCCCTGACCCTGGAGCCATGAAATTCACAATTTTGAAAGAGGCTCTCTTGCTCATCATAACTATGTACTTAGTTAGTTTATTTAATACCCAGGAGCAGAGAAGAAGATTTTCAAAGAATTCATGCATTTTCACTATAATCAAAAGAGCCCCGCCCTAACACCAGAACCCCTGACCCTGGGGCCATGAATTTCACAATTTTGGAAGAGGCACTCTTGCTCTTCATAACTATCTACTTAGTTACTTTATATAATACCCAGGAGCAGAGAAGAAGATTTTCAAAGAAATAATGCACTTTCACTATATGATCTACATAGCCCCACCCTGTGGCCAGAACCCCTGACCCTGGGGTCATGAATTTTACAATTTTGGTAGAGGGCTCAATGCTTATTACAATGATGCCAACAGATTGACTGCTTGATGTCCAGGAGTAAAGAAGAAGATTTTTAAAGATTGCATTATTTTTGGTGGTTTTAGCTTCACCCCTCAGGCCCCATGGGGGGCAGGGACCACGAAATTCACAAATTTTGTTCCCCTCCACCCATAGATGCTATATGCCAAATTTGGTTGAAATTGGTTAAGCGGTTTCAGAGAAGAAGCTAAAAATGTTCAAATGTTAACACACGACACACGCCGACGGATGAGAACGGATAGCAATAGGTCACCTGAGTGACTCAGGTGACCTAAAAAATAATATCATCACAGTATGATGGTACAGTCCCTGAAACGTTCTACTTTCCCATTTTTCCGTTCGCCCACCGTTCGTTCAGCGTGCGTTCACCGTTCGCTCACCGTGCGTTCATCGTTCGCTCTCCGTTCACAGTCTTGCGTTCTGCGTTCACCGTGCGCTCGCGTTCACCGTTCACAAAGCGTTCACCGTTCGCTCTCCGTTCGTTCACTTTGCGTTCACCTTGCGTTCAGCGTTCACTTATCGTTCAGTCTTCACTGTCATTCGGAACTCCGAAGTGAAAGGACTTATCTTTTTTTGGAAGTAAGGATTTATGGGATTTGAAATTTAATAATTCACATACATATCATTTTTAAAGGATCATTATTTTATTGGAATAAATTATCTACAATATGCTTTATTATTATTCTAACTTAGCTGTTAGGTTATTATTTAAATTACTCTGGAAAATGAATGTTGTTATAAGTATGTACCTATGTGGAACGATGCTGAAAAATTAAATTTAAATACGGGCAATATAGGGGTACTTCAAGCACTGCAACATTTTGCTGATATGTTAAAGACGACAAGTCGTTAATGGAGAGATAATAAGCCATGTCAATTAATTTAGCAACTGCAGGAAAATTAGAAGGTATTTATTACCAACACGGTTTTTTTTCCAATTATTATAGAAATACATTATTAGAACTAGTTCTGAGAATTATAAATAGTACTGCGGATATCCAGTTAATTAAATATCTTCGGAGTGAATTAAATTGATAGTTTGGTTAAAAATTATTTATTTAAATGTAATATACTACAATTCATATATAAATTCTACTGTTAGAGAGAAAAAATTCCTTTCTTCACAATAACTTTATATGTTTGCCATTCAGTATGATTAAGACCCCCCCCCCTTTCCACGTAGATCGGTCACTTAGTCAGTATTTCCAGTATATTTTAAATTAATATTTAAAAAGAAGTTAATGCGTATTGTAGCACAAAAATTTCAGTCTCGGAACAAACATGCATAAAAGAGTCATTAAACAATAGTAGCTCAAAATATACACGCGCTGACGGTGGTATTTTAAATCGGCCAGGGAGTATGTTTCAAATTCATTCAAAATATTTATGCCCAAAGTATTTTATTTATTTATTTATTGGAAAAATTGGAACCAGATCTAGAAATGATAAAACATGTAAAACTTCTTGCCAATACTACAGTGCAGCACTTCGCCTTTGGTGTGACGAAACTTTCACACTTGCACAGTGTCTAATGCTTTTGATTGACAGGACAAGCACGTGGACTTCATGTGAACTTGGAGGAGGAAAATAAAAACCGATTATGACTGTCAAATAAAGTAAATTTGTTGATAAATTAAAACAAGAGGCCCATGGGCCACATCGCTCACCTGAGCACACTGGCTAGACTAAGGCACAAATCAATTCAGTAATGAACGGGGGGGGGGGGGGGGGGGGGGGGGGGGGGGCTTGAATTTTAAACTACCTGATGATGCTTTCCTGTCAATATAACAAATGAATTTGTTGTACTTGAGAAGATTTTAAAAGAATTTTCCCATTTATTCATTTGTAAAAATTTGATCCCCCATTGTAGCTCCTCCCTATCTCAGGGGTCATCATTTGAACAAACTTGAATCTACATTACCCGAGGATGTTTCCATATCAATAAGACTAACATAGCTTTTCTGTTCTTGAAAAGAAATTTTTTTTCTATATGTTCTTATGTAAAACTTTTGATCCCCCATTGGGCCCCACCCTACCCCCGGGGGTCATCATTTGAACAAAATTGAATCTACACTTCCTGAGGATGCTTCCATATAAATTTGACTCCTCATGGCTTTGCTGTTCTTGAGAAGAAATTTTTCCTATATATTTCTATGTAAAACTTTGATCCTCCATTGTGGCCCCGCCCTACCCCCGGGAGCCATGAATTGAACAAAATTGAATCTACACTTCCTGAGGATGCTTCCATATAAATATGACTCTTCATGGCTTTACTGTTCTTGAAAAGAAGATTTTTAAAGATTTTTCCTATATATTTCTAAGTAGAATTTGGATCCTCCATTGTGGCCCCGCCCTACCCCCGGGGGTCATGATTTGAACAAAATTGAATCTACACTTCCTGAGGATGCTTCCATATAAATATGACTCTTCATGGCTTTGCTGTTCTTGAAAAGAAGATTTTTAAAGATTTTTCCTATATATTTCTATGTAAAATTTTGATCCTCCATTGTGGCCCCGCCCTACCCCCGGGGGCCATGTTTTGAAGAAAATTGAATCTACACTTCCTGAGGATGCTTCCCTATAAATATGACTCTTCATGGCTTTACTGTTCTTGAGAAGAAGATTTTTAAAGATTTTTCCTATATATTTCTATGTAAAATTTTGATCCTCCATTGTGGCCCCGCCCTACCCCCGGGGGTCATGATTTGAACAAAATTAAATCTACACTTCCTGAGGATGCTTCCCTATAAATATGACTCTTCATGGCTTTACTGTTCTTGAGAAGAAGATTTTTAAAGATTTTTCCTATATATTTCTATGTAAAACTTTGATCCTCCATTGTGGCCCCGCCCTACCCCCGGGGGTCATGATTTGAACAAACTTGAATCTACACTACCTGGGGATGCTTCCCTATAAATATGACTCTTCATGGCTTTACTGTTCTTGAGAAGAAGATTTTTAAAGATTTTTCCTATATATTTCTATGTAAAACTTTGATCCTCCATTGTGGCCCCGCCCTACCCCCAGGGGTCATGATTTGAACAAAATTGAATCTACACTTCCTGAGGATGCTTCCCTATAAATATGACTCTTCATGGCTTTACTGTTCTTGAGAAGAAGATTTTTAAAGATTTTTCCTATATATTTCTACGTAAAACTTTGATCCTCCATTGTGGCCCCGCCCTACCCCCGGGAATCATGATTTGAACAAACTTAAATCTACACTACCTGGGGATGCTTTCCTATAAATATGACTCTTCATGGCTTTACTGTTCTTGAGAAGAAGATTTTTAAAGATTTTTCCTATATATTTCTATGTAAAATTTTGATCCTCCATTGTGGCCCCGCCTACCCCAGGGGGTCATGATTTGAACAAACTTGAATCTACACTTCCTGAGGATGCTTCCCTATAAATATGACTCTTCATGGCTTTACTGTTCTTGAGAAGAAGATTTTTAAAGATTTTTCCTATATATTTCTATGTAAAACTTTGATCCTCCATTGTGGCCCCGCCCTACCCCCGGGGGTCATCATTTGAACAAACTTGAATCTACACTACCTGGGGATGCTTCCATATGAGTTTCATCTTTCCTGGCCCTGTGGTTCTTGAGAAGAAGATTTTTTAAAGATGCTATTCATTTTTCACTAATTCTTAATTATCTCCCCTTGAAAGAGGGCGTGGCCCTTTATTTTAACAAACTTGAATCCCCTTCACCCAAGGATGCTTTGTGGCAAGTTTGGTTGAAATTGGCCCAGTGGTTCTGGAGAAGAAGTCGAAAATGTGAAAAGTTTACAGACAGACGGACAGACGGACAGACGGACTACAGACAAAATGTGATCAGAAAAGCTCACTTGAGCTTTCAGCTCAGGTGAGCTAAAAAAGGTTACTTTCACTGCCTGAGATATTTAGATAAAAATTAAGAGTTTTTGTTTATACAGGTACATGTACATGCATTTGTAAAAAGGGGGCTAAAACATAATCTCTCTCTATCTCTCTCTCTCTCTCTCTCATTTGTCCGTTTAATCAAAACTATAACACGTATTACTTAAATACCAAGTTCTGAAATTTTAATCTATAACAAATAATACGAATGCTTCTTTGTATCACCTTGTCCGAGTATAATCACGGGGAATTGTTTATAGATACATGTAGAAGTCTGCTGAATAAATCATCATAAAAACAAGAGGCCCATGGGCCACATCGCTCACCTGAGTAACTTTGGCCATGCTGTTCATTACCAGACTTCTTCCCTTGTAATACCTAGTGTGGCCCCGCCCTACCCCCGGGGGCCATGATTTGAACAATTTAGAATCTACACTACCCCAGGATGCTTCCACATAAGTTTCAGCTTTTCTGGCTCAGTAGTTCTTGAGAAGATTTTTAAAGATTTTTCCTATATATTTCAATGTAAAACCTGTATTTCCTATTGTGGCCCCGCCCTACCCCCGGGGGTCATGATTTGAACAATTTAGAATCTACACTACCCCAGGATGCTTCCACATAAGTTTCAGCTTTTCTGGCCCAGTGGTTCTTAAGAAGAAGATTTTTAATGATTTTTCCTATATATTTCAATGTAAAACTTGGATTCCCTATTGTGGCCCCGCCCTATCCCCGGGGGTCATGATTTTAACAATTTAGAATCTACACTATCCCAGGATGCTTCCACTTAAGTTTCAGCTTTTCTGGCCCAGTGGTTCTTGAGAAGAAGATTTTTTAATGACCCCACCCTATTTTTGTCTTTTCTGGATTATCTCTCCTTGTAAGGGGACTTGGCCCTTTATTTTAACAATTCAAACTCCCCTTCACCCAAGGATACTTTATACCAAGATTGGTTAAAATTGGCCCAGTGGTTCTTGAGAAGAAGTTGAAAATGTGAAAAGTTTACAGACGGACGGATGGATGACGGGTGATCAGAAAAGCTCACTTGAGCTTTCAGCTTAGGTGAGCTAAAAATGAAAAGACACATAAATATATTATTGCATTAATTTTTTTAAATATGAGGGTATACATGCAATACGTTCACAGACTAGCAAAATATTTTTTTTTCTCATTATTTCACACGGAATTGCCTTGACACGGAAATACATGTATGCTTGTTACAACCGGTACCGTTGTAATTCATTCTATAAGTCAGTAATGTACTCTTTGGAAATCATTATATGTAATGATTTTATATATCAAATAAGAACAGACATATTTATTTTACAACTTGAATGATTTTATTTTTTAAACTACAGCGTTTTACAGCGATAAAAATCGTGTGATTAAATAGCTGAATTTAAACATCATACATATGTTCAGAAAATAGTGTAGGAAACTGAATTAATAGTTTTAGTAAATGTGCATGTTTCATCTTTCTTAGGACAATTTTTGAATATTTATTTATTTTCCGCCTGACATTAGAATACAATAGAATAGATACAATGCATGAAAAGATCAGAGGCATTCCGAATAAATCGTTCATCTTGCGTTCACCGTTCACTTTGCGCTCGCGTTCACGCTCCGTTCGCGTTCTGCGTTAGCTCACCGTTCAGCGTTCACCTACCGTTCACCAAGTTGCGTTCAGCGTTCACACATCGTTCACTCACCGTTCGCTCTGCGTTCGTTCAGCGTTCGCTCACCGTTCAAGTGGGAAAGTAGAACGTTTCAGGGACTGTACCAGTACTCCACAACCAGTAACAATGCACCGGGTAATTTTAGAGTTACCTACCCCTTCTTTCTGACCCCTGTCTCCTCCTCCAGAGATTTACTGTCCTCTCCCCCGTGTGCCCTCTCCTCATGTAAATCCTTACCCTCCCTGTAAAATGAAATCAAATTTAATATAAACAGTTTTAAAATAGATTACAAAAAGTGGAAACTTTAGAATGATTTTAAGACAATTTTCAAGGTAGTTTTCCGATCACACCAATACATTGTATATCAATTCATGCAAAAAACAAAAAAAAAAAAAAAATTAATGAAATAATATGCATTCATTGTAGAAGTTAGGAATTGTTATTTAGAAGTGTATTAGAGGTTGGATGCAAATTAGAATCATGTAAAAAAAATAAATTACATGTGAAAATGTAACATTAAAATTCTGTGCTATACTAGTATTAACAAAATAAATATTTAATAAGTTTTTTCAAGGGGAAAAGATGCATGAAAGATTTTTTTTTTTGAAGACTGAATTTTCATTTGATTCTATGTCTTTATGTTTCATGTGAAGAAAAGGTAAAGTCCCTTGTTAAATACATGTATATCTAGAGAGCAATTCAAATTCAAAGACATATCTTAGGATTCACTTCTGAATAATAAAGGAAAAGAACAAAATATGATATTGCTTGCTATATAAGCAGATTCTTTTAATGAATGAAGCTAATTTTTAACACACCTGTACGGCTCTTCTTCTTTTTTTTTTCAAATAAGACACTTTTCAATATAAAAGACTGTCTGAAAGTCAGCAGATAAAAATTTTCTACAAGATCTAGCTGCAGGATGGTGTCCCCTTTTGGTCATCAACAAAAGGAATAGCATTTACCAACTAGCCATATCTCTAAACTATACCACATACTCTGTTTATCTTTCCAATCCTTTTCGCAAATGATCTCAATTTTGTTTTCAAACATATACATGTATCTTGATATATAATATGAAAAGATTATCAATAAAAAAATATTAGAGTAAGAGGTCATATAAAGAAAGGATTCCTGGAATATGACTTTTTGATTTTTTTTTTCCAGTATTAAAACCTGAATTTTACAAACATGTTGATATAATCATATATATACATATATATGATGCCTAAATTTGAAGGAATTTGCAGTTACTCTCAATAATTGAAATTCTAATGAATTTAGATAAAAAGTGAAATTCCATTAATAAATGAATGTAATTCTGAAGTTATGAGATATTCAGTCTCTTATCTAGGTATATAAGTTAAAGAGACCTTGTACCATTGTAAACTGGTTCTCACTACGATACTTGCCTTGGTATCCAATACAAACCATAGCGCGACTTGTGTGATCTGAGGGGGCAAGCATGCAGGGTTTTTATGATACATGTACATGTATATTGCATCACGTAAGCATCAAATCAATATTAGGTCTATTCACAACTTATTTTAGCTGCCGTATTTACATTTAAAATAATGTCACTAAAAAACAGAGATAATTCTAATGAAAATTTCTGACTTTCCTGTTTTTGCTGCATTAATGTAAGAAACATCATTTGGGACCGTCAGTAATAGAAATACACATTTACACTTTCAATACCAAAAAAGAAAAAAATCATAATAACAGCATGAGAACAAAGCAAAATAAAACATCACTTCAGTAAAGAAAAGATAAATTCCATACCCATCCATTTCCTTGGTGAGTTTCATGATGTGTAAAGTCAGAGGGTTGATACACTTGGGGATTTTATCCTCAGCTATACTTAGTGGAACCTTCTCCCCCGTGTCCAGATTCAGAACCAACACCCCTTCCAGGATTTCCTACAGAAAAAAAATATAATTTAAACAAATTTATGCTGCAGATAGTGGAATATATACAGGTTTCATAAAACTTTTGCAAAGAGCAGAGTACATGTATACCCAGAAGTATTTCCATGATCTTATAATTGTTGATAAATTAAAAGCATTAAACAAAAGATACATTTTTTTATTGAAATATTTCCTATAACAATCTCATACCTCATCAGTTAACGTCCTTCCCGAGTTTGAGCGTGGCCTTGGAGCTGTTGGCTGTTGCTCCTCGGGCTCCTCTGTGTTGGGTGATGAACAGCGAGATGATTCTTTTGACGATTTCTTGTCCCGATCTCCCGATTTCCTACGTTCCCTTTCTACTGACTTTCTTGAAACATTGGAACTTTTTCGAGGCAGACTAGAAGATTTCTTACTTTGATACTGTCCCTCGTCATTCTTGTGTGATTTACTTTCACTTCGCCCCAATGAACTAGATCCTGACTTACTTTCACTTTGTCCCAATGACCCTGATGTAGACTTGCTATCACTTCTCCACTGAGAACCAGTTCTTCCATCTGCTCTTCCCAGAGAAGCTGTTTTTCTTCCCTGTATTGGTGCACTCATTGATTGCCTCTGACCTCCTGATTTTGAGCGCGACTCAGATCTCCCAAGTGAGCTGGATCTACTACTTCCTGTTGCAGATCTCGGATGAGACTGATCAGAATTTACCGCATGTAACTCAGCATCCTGCAAATACAATGTATGTTGTCATAGTAATTATAAAAAGCCTAAATTTCTTTTGTAACTTTCGTTAAGTACAAGTACATCCACATTATAATATAAATGTATACATGTACATGCATGGTCTTAATAGCAACTAGCCACCATCCATTTTCAAGAGCCAAATTGCTCTGATGGCACTTGCAATTCTACTGAATGGTTATTTAACTAAATATTTACTGTTTTCAGAAGCCACTTAACTTCACCAGTACATATATCTCTGATGACAAGAAAGAACTGAACTTCACTTAAAAAAACTGACCTCCATTCGGATGTGTCGCCGGCCTCCTAAACAGTCTCTTATATCCAGGAAGTTATCCAACGCAGGCCCACTGTCTGGGGACTGAGAGGGGAGGGGCACAGATTCCCTGTTATCCCAGTCAGGTGTGCTAGCTTCACTTGAAAGCTGGAAATATTAAAAAAAAAATACCAGTACTCTGGCCCATGGTTAACAATACAATGTACATTAACATACATATATACTTACACCCATGCAACATGAAAAGGTAAAATAAAACTTTGAACACTTTTTAATTATTTGATAATAAATTTTGAATCATTGACTTCACTGATTGTGCACAAGAAAGTACATGTGTATAACGTTATATATATTTCTTTATACAATAGCACATTTTTGAGGTAATGTCACAAAAATTACGCAAATAAGAAATACCTCCTCTTGGGGATGCTCATGTTCCCTCCTCCGTCTACGGGGAGGGGCTCTAGGTTCAGTAGACTGCCCTGGTGGAGGAAGTGAAAGTGAGTGGGAATTCTGGGAAGCTGAAGCTAATTGGTCCATTACAGAGGGAGGAAGTGATGTCAGAGTGTTAGGAGGTGTCCTGGTGCTGCGTACAATGTCAGGCTCATTGCTGCCACTACAAACCTGATTGTCTTGTAACAATTTATCCACAATATCATCTGAATCAGATAAAAGTTCATCCACATCAAGATCTGGAATCTCCTTTTCCATTTTGGCTTTGGTTGGATGAGAAGAGTCCATGTTTTCACTAAAAGTTAATCGCTTAGTGACTTCTGATGGGTTGTAGGAATCTACAAAATCCTCAGTCGAGTCTTGAGCTTCATTGGACGAGTCAGAATCATAATCTTGAGTTGATTTGTCGGACTCGTCTTCTCCTAAGTCTGAGTCACCCTCTGTGCTTACATTTTCATTGGAGATTTTTTGTCTCATGTTCTCTAATTTCCTTCGTCGTTTTTCTGCTTCTTGTAACTTCTTTTCCTCCTCCTAAACAATGAAATTCTCCAAAAAATGTATGTTATACACATGTACTGTAGCTCATAAATTTGAAGACTGTAACTTTACCCAGTTTTCAATTTTCCTGTATTACTAATATTCAATTCCTATTCCCATTGCTCCCTCTGAACTTTTTCACATATATAGTATTCCTCCTTACATACATGTACACTACCTACCCCACGACTACACAAGTTCTCTATTATCTATATCTTTGAAATTTGAAATTAATTTCAGATCTAAGCTTTGCTATCACTTTCACTGTCTTCTCTCTGCAGTCTCTTATAAGCTTTTACTTATCATCAATCTAATTTGACAGACCTTGACCTAATTAATTTGACAGACCTTGACCTAATTAATTTGACAGACCTTGACCTAATTGACACACCTTGACCTAATTAATTTGACACACCTTGACCTAATTAATTTTGTCTTACCTGTTTCTTTTCCAGTTTTCTTTTTTCTTCCAGTTCCAGCAGCAGTTGTCTGTATTCTTCATCTTCCTGTCTTCTCCTAATAAAGAAAATGATCTCAATATTAATGGTTGGACTCTCCGTAAAATGTCAAGTTTATAACAGGGTACAGCTGGAACAAAACGGGTTTGTGAACAGCAGATTTAAACTTTTACGGATTCACTTTATCTAAGATTGAATTCAAAATGTACAAGCAAAGGATGGAGTGCTAAACAGCCCCAGGCTGATTGACCAAAAATAATTACATATATCTGAATTTTACACTTATTTTCGCATGTACTTAATCATTGATAAGTGTACCTTCACGGAGTAACTTCAACTGAAAATAAAAACATCATATAGAAGGTACAATTGTATATAAATCTTTATTTAAGATAGGTGCACACTGTTTACAACCAATTCCCATTGAATTTTGGCCCTGGCCCACTTTCAAAAACCAATCACGTAAAAGATCTCAAGTAGGTACTTTTACATTCTCTCCTTTGGCTGGTCACTGTGGTTGGGACTTCCAAATCACTTCAACATATCCATGGTATTCAAGATGTTGGTGTTCGAGAGATCAAAGTTTAACTGTATTTATCAGGTTCATTTTTCTTCACTATTGTTTGAAAATTACCAGAATCATTTTAGATTTATCATAATTCATTAAAGAAAAAGGGGCCATTGACTAAAGTTATGGGAATTCATCCTTTAGAATTTAGTATGGGCAAAATTTGAGAAAACTGCTCTTTGAAGATGATTTATTTTTCTTATATAGGGTTTCCAAAAAGGGAGGCAAGAGGCAATTTTTCACCCTTTTCATTGTTTCAATGATCATAATTCATCACAGTTGGCAAAATAAACTATCAGAAATGATTCTAAAAAAGCCTCTTCAAATGGACAAACTCACCTCTTCATTTAAAAATTACTGAAAGCCTTGGTCTTTAGGAACTAAACTGAATGATTTATCAATTGTAGCATTATCTCCTTTTGTATAATTATTGATTTATCAATTTTCAATGCTAACCCCCCCCCCCCCCACCCCCTTTCCCCTTTTTTTCTAATTTTCTTCCTTAATTACCTTTCTTCCTGTTTTCTTTTAAATTCAATCAGCTTTCTTTCTTGTTCTTCTAGACTGTTTCTGGACTAGAAGTAAAAACAAAATGAAAACTAAAAATATACCCCTAAATAACATGATGTTACTCATTCTTATTATCAAGATAATGGTAGGTAATTACAAACTGTATATAAAAGCTTACTATCTAAACTATTCAGCAATATTATCCAATAATAGATAAATTATTCTGTAAACAGAATTATTGGAAATACACCACTTAAGATTTTTAAAATTAAAACACTGCATGTGTACATGGAAAGATATTGACAGTTATTTGATTGTTAAAGAAAGACGTTCTGGGGAACTAAAATTTCACAGCCAGTGTCTTTCATTTATTTTACATTATAATAAATGTAAAATGGGTCGATTGAATGATTTTACTGTAGTGTGCCGTTGAACACGTCAACATCTCTGTCAGTGTCTATTTTTACATAATCATACATGCATTATTTACTGTACATGTAAATAAATATGATTTTTTTTCCTCTTGATAATTCACTGAATTTGGATTACCCAAAGTCATGCTTGGATATAAGTAAATTTTATAGTCTACTGGTCCATTAATTGTGCTAGTGACTTCAATGTCTATCCCTATAGTGTATGCAGTGTTTACATTCAGACTTACCTGAGAGGCTGTGGTATGAGGAATATTCTTGCCAAGAATTCTGAAATATAGATTATACAAAATCTTTACAAAATTTTTGCCTAAAATGAATAAAAACAATTATAGATGCACTTAAATGGAAGATGCATTAGAATTGATCCACTTAAAAATAAATCAATCGTGAACAAAATCTGCCTTAATACTTGTCTCATGTAGCCAAGAGTTAGTGTTTGAAGGATTTAACTATAATTAATAAAGAACCACATTCATATGATTATTTAACAAGAAGGGTGCAAATGCAGGAATCATTTGAATTTGAACTAGAACTCTATTTTACAGCGTAAATGCTTTTTCTCAGCAAAGATATAGGACTGTGGGATCTGATTCATTCAGTTCCCTGAATTACAGCTGGGTCTCAAGTGGAAATACCACTCCAGATCCCTGAGCAATCTATAGATCCCATGGTCTAACCCAGCAGTGATTTTTCTACACTTTTTAATAGGGGCCTGGGCCTTTACAACTGGGAAAAATTATCGACATTTGTGTCAAATTGGGAAAAATTAATAAGATTGAAATTAACCTTAATTGACAGGTAAAATAAAATAAATAAAATATGTCTTGTAAATGCACAAAATCATCAGCTGTTCTTCACTATTATTGACCGAGAACAATAGTGTTCTATTTTAGATAAGTCCAACATAAAAAAAAATTCAATATAACAAAAACAAGAACGGTTTTATTTTGGGAAAAAAAGCAAATGAAATTGGGAAAAAATTGGTAATTTTTGATAGGGGAAAGGGCCGATATTCGGACCTAAAATGGGTGTAGAAAAATCACTGCCCAGCCACCTCCTCTTCATCTTAATTCCCACATTGAATGTCCAGGTTTGGATCTGACAGGCCTAAGCTTCGTATTGCACAAAGTGTAATAGAAAGAGAGAAAACCATATGAACCCAATCCTGGATTTGAACTTTGGGCCCACTGAACCCAATACAGATGCTATATACTACTAATTAAATCAACCCTGTCACATTTCCTCAAATGAAGAAACTCGGTATAAGTGTAACTTTTAGCGTTTTCATCCCTGGCATTTATAATGGATGGCACGGAAGTAAGTGTAACCATGAACATAATCAACAGTGATATTAATTGTATATCTTTGGTGCAATATGGTGAGAATATAAGAACCCCAGTTTTTCAATTGATTTAATTGTGTACCTAAATTCATGTTAACTTCTACCAATGCACATCACCATCTTTAACTAAGATACAGTTAGGCACCATATGAGATGTCTAAATTTAAGTAAAATATAGTAAGGAATACCGAGAATACCTAAGATTCCTAAATCTAGAAGAACAAAATATTCTTAGAAGACTCATAAAATATGGCATAGGCCAGTAGGCAGATTCACTTCTCATCATCACCAGTATTTTGTGTATTTAAACACTTACGGTCTTGGGGTCGCATCCTCAGCATCGTAGAATTCATCTAATTCGCTGTCTGAAGACATTTTAGGTTATTAACCTACGAGAATAATGAAAAGCATTCTTTTTTAGTGGAATGTACTAGTCTAACAACCCACTTCCATTCGCGTAAATAACTAGTCTCGGGATTTTACCTGAGCTTGGGGAAGTCCTCTAGATTCTTCATAGCAATCATAATTCGAGACGCCGACGTTATTTCGTTGGATGTAAAGAGCAAACGTTGGAGTGTGAGGTAAATTTGAACCTAAATAAATGTGTATTTTAATTTAAATTACGTGTATTTTTTTCATAATAAACGTTTCCTATAACTTTATATGGAAAAACTTTAATCTGATCAACAGACAGAAAAAATATTTCCCATCATTCAACGGTTAACCATTCAACATGGAGGACCTAGTGGTCGAAGTTTGCAGTCCGAACGGTATTTATTACAAGGTATTTCAATATTTTCTGGTTTATTTCTGTATTATGTTTAAGAAGTTTAATTGAAATGAATCTAGAAATGGTAATATGTTTATACTGACTTACCAAGATGATTAATCAATTTTGAAAGTAAATTTCTTTGAAACACGCCGTCTTCATGTGGGTTTTCTATGGGCTACTTTCATAATGACTTTTTTTGAAGAAGATGTATATGGTGTTTTGTTTCTTCTGAAATCAGAATTCTTTATTTGAATGAATTGATCTGGTTATATTTTCAAATCATAGGATATATTTTAATTTTAGGTCATGTGTTTATTTTGTGTCAAATATTTAAGATTACCAGAGTGCTGAAAGTATGAGTCATGTTTTGGAGTCTGAGTTGTGCTTTCTTATCATTGTTTATCAAAACTTAAGATGTTTCAATCTGGTGCTCCTGTGATGCACATTATATGGCATCGTAAGGGGAATATGGAAGCTCATGATCATAATGATGTTTCTAAATTTTATCTCAGCCAAACATGACAAGTACGCAGATGGACTTTTAATCTCTTCATGTAGGGAATTTGGAGATAAGCAGATGCATGTACACAATGAAAGAAAAGAGTAATGAACCAAGTCTAATTTTGATCAGACCAAAGTTAAGTCTTTTAAACCAAACCCTTTAACATTTTGTAAATAATTACAGGTCAGGAGAGGTTCTAGTAACTGTGTAGGTTTAATTTACTTGCATGAATCATATCCTTTGATTCAGAATCAAAAAATTGCAGTTGGAGGAGGATGCATTAGATGTGTTAAAAAGTTTAGATAGCGTATGAGTCTTATCAGGCTTATGAGATAGAGACTAAGTCTTGATGTATACAGTCAAACCTGTCTTGGTGTCGAACTGTATGGAATGACTTCCTGTCAGATATGACTTATAAAATCCCATCTTGTGTAATTACCTGCATTAAATTACTTCCTAGAAACTTCTACTATATGATGCAGGGAATGAACGCTTTTAAATCTTAAGTTATCATAAACTTATTTGTCACAGGTGGTGAAAAATCAAGTCTCAACCGGGATTCGAACCCAGGGCCTCTGATATATTTCAGTGTCTTGTTCATAGTCGCAATTTTTTTTCATATAGATATTGATTCATGATTGATTTAATAAGCAGAAAAAGTTGTAGTTGTAATTGATTCCATCATGGATAACAAAGTTCTGTTTAATTTTCATTTAAAATTTATTATAGTATATTTATTATTGAATAACATTTAGAACATTCCTCATATAATACGTATTTTGGGATTATTTCAAGTTTAGCTTGCCTCTCTCTAGCACAGCTTGTCATGATTCTAATACCATAATACAGGTTTGAATGTTAACACTTGAAAATAAATAACCCTCTTTTCTTATATTATTTTACCTCAGTGCCAGTGTATAAATTTTCCTTTTTAGTTTTAATGTTTCTTAAATCACAGAATTTAATTGTCAGAGCATGTAAATGACACAACAAACATGAAATAGAACAGATTTTTCAAATATGATGTTATTTGGTTCAGTCCAATACAATGAGAGTAAATATAGTATTATAAAATGTTGACAAAATGTCCAATATCCAGTTTGAAATGTTGATTGCAGAGGCAAAAAACTTTGTCCTAAGCAACTGAAAGAATTAATCTCTAAACACTAGGCCATCATTTAGCCTGTTTCAATTTATCTTACTGTGAGATCAGATTGTGGAAATATTGTCTGAATTCTGTCAGAGTAGTAAAGCGAGAAAAGTGACTGTGAAATTGAAGATGTGGATGTCTTTGTATAGTCTTAATCAGTGAAATTTTATGTGGACTTTATTTTTGGACAATGAGATAACCAGACATAAACCAGACATCTTGGTTAGAGCCTTATTAATTATATTTATCATGCTGTGCAGTGAGGTATAGTCTTCATGTTCACTGATCTTTAAAGGAAGGAGGGGAAACACACAATATCAGTTTATAATGGATATGAAGGGGGAAAAAAGATGAAAACATTGTTGTGAAGCTTCTGAAATGAGTTTTTACGGATGTTGTTTACAATCTTTATGCACCAACTATCTCTATCTCAACTATAAATTTGCATGCTAGATATCAAAGTTGATGCAGAGAGAGTAAAATGCCCAAAGAATCTTAACTAATTCAGATTAAAATCTGTAAACATGGTAAAACCTGTACATTGAATGTCATGTATTCATATGCGTATCTTGTATGAAAGTTTCTGAAGAGAATTTCTGTTTTGAAAGATTAGTTTGTAGGAAAGTCAGGTGCAAGCAAAGTGAATACAACTTAAGCAAGATTTTTTTATTCTGATTTATTCAAACATTTTCTCTATCAAGGCAGACTATTTTTCTATGCATCTTTTTTTTTAAAGCTAAAACAATATAAAATGCATAGTATTACCAACTTGTAGAATTTAGGTTATAAATACAGTGTTGACATTGACATAGGTGACAGATTTACCTATCTCTTATCAATTGAATTAAAAGATAAGAATGGAATAGACACTGAAAAAAACATTTTATGCCCTGATCTGCTACACTTAAAATAGTGTTCTGCTTCACTTCAAACAGAAATTCTTAAACTTGTGTTAAATTAGCAATAAACAGCTTATAGTTTATGCATTTCTTGTTTTGATACTTAAGTGACTGTGTAATCTTTATCAACTATATCTCGAGATTACACATTTTGACATAGATGATGAACAGTGAATAATGATAATGGTATGAGAAATTCTGAGAGGGGCTCTGGCTGAGGATATTAATAGCGCAAAGCAGAGAGTGTTGTGGGATATCTCTAAATGATTGGTATATATAAACAGAAGCTCAAGAAGCACTGATAGAGAGAGAATCTATATACACAACAAGTTAACCAGCATCTTATAGATTCTGTCTAAGCAAATAAAAGAGAAAAAGCACACGAAAAATACAAATGTTGATGTATTTACAACCTTTTTTTCACTGCTTTAATCCTTTTTTTTTTATTCCAGGCATTTGTGAAGAATGTGTATGAAGATGAAATCCTTGTCTCCTTTGAGAACGAGTGAGTCATTGTTTTAGAAATGTACTGGAAGGAATCCAAGCCGAGCATATCTGTTCTTGGGGGGAATTCTTCAAATGGGGGGAGCTGTTGTAAAAGTCTGTTATGATCGGTATCAATTTGACATAGATATATTCCCAACATATCACCTGTGCTCTATAGTGCAGTTGACTACAATACTCACTACAGATATATTTACTATATATTGAGTACACTGCATGTACTCTCAAGAATTTCCATAGAAGCCTCGATAAAAAGATGCATGAGTGTCTGAGTGCCGAGGTGTTGTGGAGTTATTTATAACACTGATAAGACTGATGAGACAGAAATATATCTATGTATTTTGGGGTATAGCATAATTAATAATACAGTGTACACTGTACAGTTTATGAGTAATAAGCATAAAAAATAAACAGCTGTTAATTTAGTTATGACAGTAAATCTATGAAGAATTGGCATCCCTATTAATTATATGAGCTGGTATCTCTAGACATATGTATGCATTGATTTTGATTCTATTCTCTAATACCTAAACACAGGCATAATTACAAGTTAATAAGCCTGGTAATGTGATCTAGTACAAACAGTTAATAAGCCTGGTAATGTGATCTAGTACAAACAGATGTGTTTAGGTGGAGCAGTATAAGAATTACTATGAGGTCTAAGAAAAAAATATGCTTATTTATTACATTCCATACTGGTAAAAAGTAGGATCAGTAAGTATGATTTAAAAAAAAAAAAAAACCTCAGGCGTAACATTTAAATACATTTTTTAAAGACAGTTTGAGGCTGACACTTCTTCTAGTCATAAAATCTACCTGACAGCTCTAAAAATGGCTACTGAAAGTAAAGAAATGTACACACATGCTGATGCAGTTTCAAGATTTTAGTATTTTACCACAAAAATAATTATTGGTTGGCACATAAAATACGGGGTAGTTGGGTAACCATAAACACTCATTTTATTTTCTTAGGCCTGCTGATGAAAAGAGGTTATGGTGAATTAGTATATTTCTTATAATTTTGTTGTATAATTTTCTATCTTTGAGTTTATCTTCTGAAAAAGAGAAAAATATATTTCATTTATGAGCGAGAAAAATAAATAGTCAACTGCAATTTCTAATTCCTCTTTAAGTTAAAATGTGGCGAATAAGATCTGTAATTCTCTCAATTCTTTATGTAAATAAAGGAAAGGGGATGTGCTTTGCATGAAAAACCACAAATAATTTTTATTGGTAAAAATTGTTACTATTATATTTTGTTTCAAACTTACATAAGCTTTATGTTATCTACTTTAACTCAGCTGGCAGCCGGAGCAGAGAGTCAAGTTCTCCAATGCCAGACTCCCAGTGCAGGACCAGGGCAAACATAGAGACTATAGGGACGGGGAAAATGTCGAGGTTTGTAACAACAGTATGAGGATTTTGCACAGAAACACACCTAACTTAAGATGAACTTTGTCATCTTAAACATCAATATCTTGGAAATCATGGATATGTTGATGTGAGCTAGGAGTCTCAACTACTCTTTCTTTATGTATTTTGACTTAAATATCTCAAACCCTTAGATATCTTGATTTTTTTCAAGGTCTCATCAAGTTCAAGATAATGATGACTGACTGTATTATATTATAAGTTTATCTTAACCAAAAAGTTAAGAGGCTAGCATCTTTCACATCTTAAAGAATATATTAACATGTTTAGTTTTCTATGAAATTTTTTTAAGGCACATGCAGAAAATATGTCTTAACAAAATACATTTAATTTATAATAAAAAAAATTGCTGATCTGAATAGTATACAGTGTTAGATTCTTAATTATAGCTCCTCTTCATGATATTTTATTCTAAAGTATCTAAGCTTAAAGTTAATCCAGAATGAATGCATTTAAGTACATTATATAATGGGTTAGTGGAGGCTATTTGATTTGCCCTAATTTATGGAGTTTTTGGAAGTAGAGAAAAAAGAAAAACAAGCATAGTCTGGCCTATTCCATTGTAAACATGGTAAAGTAATACCCTGGTTCTAGCAGATGCAGTGTATACTTGTAATAAAATTTTAGATCCCAATACATGTTAATCATATATGTATTTGAATGTGCTTGCTTCTAAAGTTTAAATGTTTTGTTAAAGGCACACAGCATATGTTATAATACAGTAATTGCTTCTGACCAACAGCAGTCCGATTATTTCTGAGGTTAGATCAGTAACAGTCCGTATTGAGATCTTGAAGGAAGTATCAGTATTCAAAACATATTTACCATTATACCAAGGGTAATATATCACAATCAAAGCATTTTGATTTGAAGTGGAATAAGACCAGTAGAGTTGACACTGAAATAGAGGATCATTTTCAATGGAGGGGGTATTTTAGTTTTGGAACAGAGATCCCAATGCCAGTTCTGTCTGAGAATCGAATACATAAGTTTAGGAAGTCTCTGCATAAGAATTCAAAGAACTGCTACCCAGACTTAGCCCAAGACTAAAAGCTAATAAGTGACCAGTTTGCAGTGTAGAATTGATGCGAGCCTATAGACCGTACTTGTATTTTGTATACACATGATTCAAACAAGTTGCAATGAAGTGATTTTTGGGGTCTTTGTTTCATGCTCCTTATTGATTTTTCCTAATCTAAGAAAACTTTGTCTATAAAGGTGAGAACTCCAGGGAATATATCTGATTTTATGATAACTTGTAATATTGTAGGTATTTACAAGTACAAATGAAAAGGAACAGATGGCTTGGTGGCCAGCAGTGCTAAAGATGTTGAAGGGCGAGTTTGCAGTGATAGAATATACTGGTTATGACTCAAAGTACACAGATATAGTCCCACTCGAGCGAGTTAGACCTCTCAACTCAAAGTAAGTTAAAACTCAAATCAGTGTGATCCAAATCCTTGCATTAAAATTAGAAACATAAGCCTTTATCAACACAAGTTGAAGTTTATGTTATGGTACACTATATCAGATTTGGGAGAGATTAAAAGCTGGGATAAAAGACCATGTACATGATATATGTTAAGTATTTCTGAAGAAAACACTGTTTTAATAATGATAGAAAAAAATCTCTTCTCAGTGTAAAAATTTTCCATAACCTTTTGCAGAGTAATTCAAATGTGGTATTTGATAAATAATTGCAAAATTTGTGTTTTAATCAATGTTAAAAAAAATGTATTTTTGTTTTTCAGCCCACCAATAGATAAGAACACATTTCACAAGTTTTCTATAGAAGTCCCTATTGACCTACGAGAAGTGTATGTATCAATCAGCTGATTGTCCTTTTGTTTAATTAATTTTTTTTTGGGGGGGGGGGGGGGGGTGTTCCAATTACATTCTCAAGATATTTGAAATACATATACCTATCTTCTGTATAGCCAAATGAATTTCAAAAAGTCCAAAGCACTAAAATTTTAGATAAAAAGATATTAATAAGAAGAACTATTTAAAATGTGGATTGATTGTTGCATATTTTAGAATAAATGTCATTTGTTGATATGATAGCCCAATATGTTCTGCTTTCATGCTATTTTTCACAATTGAATGGATGTGGGTACTATTCCCAGTTGGTAGAAGAAAAAAAACCCTGATCTAATATTCTATGGTAAATGATCCATGATATGAAAGTATTGCTGTAGTGCATTTCTACAGCTTGAAATTTGTGCAGTTCTCGAAAGATAAAGAGTGGCCTCAAAATCAATACATTTAAACTTCAGTACCTTGACACTGCCTGAAAATCACTACAGTTAAACTTCGGTATCTCGTACACTGATATCTCGAATACCTAGGATATGTCGAGGTGATTTGAAAGTCCCAACCACCGATTCTTTAAGTACTTTACTCTGGATATCTTGAATCCACGTATTTCTCGAAGTATTTTCTTGGTCCCATTGAGTTCGAGATAACGAGGTTTGACTGTATTTAATGGCATTTGGAATAGGAAATTTCTCTTTTGAACCAGTTATATAAGAGGTAAAAAAAAAAAGGTTGAGATTATTTTAAAATGTTGTAGCATCTAGATTTATACTTTTTTAGGTGCCAAGATGACCATGAACATGCTGAATTTAAGAAACATATAGGAGGAGGTTGTGTGTGTTTTGATCATCAGGAAGGGACTCTAAATGTTATGGTATTAACCTTTAGAAACTCCCACATCAGCAAATTCTATGCAACATTTCTAGCAATTGAAAAAAAAGCAATAAAATGATCTTAATCATGTAATGAATTGTTAAAGTATAAATTTTCTTGATTGCTTTTGTCTTGGTTGAAGATCCAGTGTTTATTGTTGCCCTTCACACTGTTGAATATTTTGAAATCTGTTCCGTAAACATGCCACTGATTTTCAAATTCTCACTGGTTTTACCTGGGTCATATTTCAGTCTCTGAATGAATCTGTGATAAAGAGAGCATCCATGTTGGCTGATATGCACCTTCGCAATGTCCGACAAAAGTTAATGCTGAAAAAGAGAACAGAGGAAGCAGTCCAAAGGCTTCAGGTATTACTCTTTGAAATGGCTTCAATAATATAGGGACTGGCTTTACATTTACTTGAATGATAAGTTAGGTACATATGTCCCTGTTATAGTGAATATTGCATGGGGTGTAAAGATGGCTGTTTTCTTCAAGGGGGATTGAATTAATTCTAAAGTGTTGGAGATGTACTCATATTTTTGTTAGATGAAGGTTTTTTTTTTACCCATATACAGTGTACTTGTTAAATGCACAGTATTGAAAAATATAATAAATATTTACAAGAGGGGATGAAATAACAGTAACTATTTGAAAATTGTGATAAAAAAAGAAATTCTTTAATTTCAGAGTACCAAAATTAGGTCTGGTTATACTGAAGAGTTTAAAGTTCGTGATGACCTGATGGGGCTGGCTATCGGGACACATGGTGCTAATATACAACAGGCCAGACATGTAGATGGCATCACCAATATAGAACTGGATGAGGACACGTGTACTTTTAAAGTTCATGGAGAGGTGAGTGATGGGTCTCGTGTTGAACATTGTTTTAGACTACTTTTTGGCTACTTTCTCTCGATATTATCAATCATGTGTAATTGTGTGACTTTTCAATTATTTTGTAAATCAGCAAAGCAAACAGAGAACATGCCTCAAAAGTTTACATTATTCATGAAAAGAAAGATTTGCAATTTTCCTTCTATCTGCAAAAAGTGTGAACGTTAGTAACATGCAAAAGAAGTTGATTTACAATACATGTATTAAGTTAAAAATTATATTTTATGAAATATGATAAATATTTTTGTAGTTTGATGTCTGTTTCAGTGTTGGTTATATACATGTACGTATACATGTAGTATGGCAACAAGTTGATAAAATTCCATGAATAATTGTTATCAGTTGCCAAAGGTAGTTATAACTTCAGTAATTGGTTTGTTTGTGTTTTAGTCTCAAGAAGCTGTGAAGAAGGCAAGAGCCTTGCTAGAGTATGTAGAGGAAACATTTCAGGTTCCAAGAGAGCTAGTAGGCAAGTCACTTAGTATTAACTACCATCTCTTAATGATTTTTTTATATTATAGGATATTGAAAAATAATCTCATGACTATGTCACTCATTTTTGTTGATACAATTCCCTTTTGTCTATTTTGAGAGAAAATTCTACTATAGATAGTTCCCTGCTTAAACAGAACTAAGAATGAATGATTTTACAAGTTTTTCTGTTACAGCAAAGGTTATAGGTAAAAATGGCCGCAACATTCAAGATATTGTGGACAAGTCTGGCGTGGTGCGAGTAAAGATCGAGGGTGATAACGAGAATGATACGCCTCGTCAGGAGGTAATGGCGTCACTGGTAAGGGGGCGGAGTAAGATACATGTCAATCAGTGTTGGCAACAGCTGCACAATAGCATAGCTCCGGGGGAAATTACACACTTAGCAATAGAAAAACCCTGATCTTGTACATTAATTACCAGGAAGTACATGATGGTAATCAGAATGAAGTTTTCTGGGAATTATAATTTTATTAAATTACATAGTCCTTTGTTTACAAATAATGAACATGATTTGCTAACACAGAAGCTTAAGGGTTTAATCAGAGCCAAATTTAATACAGCATTGAAAGTTCACAAACTTAACACTGCATGGTGAAAGATAACTTAAATCTACAATATGTTTACAGCTCATTTATTATAAAGACATGATTTCATGTTGGTAGGCCCTCTTTTTTTTGTATAAATCCATCGGGAGAACATATATTGTGCAGCTGAAATATTGTGAAAAGAAGATGTACAGTTTGATTCTTTGTATAGCTAAATATAACACATTTATTCGTGCAAAAAGAGCAAAAATTTATGCGACTCAAACTCGGCATTGCATTTGAAAATATTTTAAATTTCTATTAAAAAAAAAAGGAAAAAAAGAAAAGGAAAAAAAAAAAAAGAAATCCGAAGATTCCATGACAAAGTATTGGCAGTAACTTTAAGGTTCATAAAAAGTAGCAAAAGCTGACTGTGTGAGTTTGATTAGCATTGTATATACACAGTATATATGACAACTGTCACATGTGTCTTACTTTTTGGCATCTTGCCAGTATTTATCTCTCTTGCTTTCGTTTCTTCCTTTTAAAAAGTACAGCTGTACTTATTATGTCTTTTGTTGTTTATTCTTGTATTGAGTTGTTTAATTCTTCAGTTTATTCACATCACCTTATTGTTATTCTGAGTTCTAATATGTTACAAATACTAACATGTCGACTCATTAAAACATTTTACTTTTAATTTAGAGACCAATATATTAAATGTTCAATTAACTTACAAAATCAGTGTTAAAGCACCTGTTCCTTGGAAACATATTAATATCATACAATGATTATGTCAAAGTGTTACAATTCCATTCAAAAGGAACAGAATGATATCAAATTTTGTTTGTCATTTTAATCCTGATATTTTCTCTGTCAATATTTCAGGGACAAGTACCATTCATATTTGTTGGAACTCAAGAAAGTACAGGAAATGCCAAGATTCTACTGGAATACAATTTAGATCATTTGAAGGTATATCTGATCAGCTGAGATTGACCCTTGCATCAGTCCTATTAATAGATAATCTTTTTGTTAAATTGGGGGTGTATGCATTTCATTAATACAAGAGAAGTATGACATTTTCATTTCTTCCCGTGGAGGAACGTGATCTTGTATCAATTACATGTAGATCCTGAGGAGGGTTATATCTGTTTTGCAGGTTAATTTATATCTGTTGTTAAATGACTTGTCAAAGCTTTCATGAACATTAAGTATTAAGTCTTCATATCTTTGTGTTTTATAGGAAGTTGAAAAATTGAGATTGGAGAAGTTAGAAATTGACCAACAGCTAAAGAGTTTAGCGGGACCCCAGACTGGACCATACTTTCCACCTAACAGAGAAAGGAGGTGAGGGTTATTATTTTAGATATCACACTACCATATTGATCTTTACCCTACCATACTGATCTTTCAAGGGCATGGAAAACTTTCTATTGATCAGGGGCTTTTGCCTGTTAAGTTTTGACCTTTTACAAAAACATGGTCATGCTTTCTATATAAAGAAAGTCTTACATGTAGATCTACTCCAGTGGGATAAACCCAATTTAATGATGAAGTAAGGTTTCTCTTATAATTCCCTGGTAACTCCCTGTCTATAACTCAGTCCATGGAATCCACCAGTAAAAAAATCCGTACATTTGCTAGAATACAATGTAAAGTTCAATAAAAATAGGTCATACATGTAAAATGAGATATGGGTTATTTATTGAATTGCATTATTTCTATGATTTATGAACAAAAAATGTTTGGGGGGATTTTCTTAACACATAAATTTTTTTTCCCCAAAAGATCTAGAGATAAAGTATTATTGTGGAAGGTGTAAGATTTTATATGAAAATTCCATGTTACTTTCAGGGGGAGTAATGACCCTTCCTCAGATGACCGTGGAAGACGAGGGTCAGGAAGGGGGCGGGGCAGAGGAGGAAGGAGATGGGCCAATGAGAGACGTACATACAACACAGGTAAGGACAACAAAAAATGCCCTCACAACACAGAGCAACAGAGAAAAATTGACAATGGTCCATGATATTTAGACTTATGGGACTGGAAACTCTTGCAAAGTCTCATACATTAATTTTAATTTCAATCAAACAAAAAATCTTATTATGCCCCTACCATGAATATTGCCAGGGCATATAGTGTTGTTGTGTCCATCTTCCATCTGTCTGTCCATCAATCTGTCTGTCATACTTTACATTAAAACTAACATACATTAAAACTCGTTCACTAATACATATTAGAGCTTTTCAACTATGTCATAATTTTCTGACCTTGACATTTCCTATGACCTTAACTTCACTCTTCTTCATTTTGCATTTAACTTAATTAGTTTCAAAAAAATGGTTTATGAAATTTTTATCAAACCTCTTACAAAGACAGAAATTGATGAGAGCTATTCATCTATGTATAAATTTTCTGACCTTGACTTGCCTTATGATTTGACCTCGCCCAGAATTATTTTGCATTTAGCACAGTTTAGAAAAAAAAAAATAATTATATTATTTTCACCAAAACTCGTCCACTCATACATACTGATGAGATTTTAGTAGAATTGGTTGGTTGGTTGGTTGTTTATCATTAAGTTATTTTACAATGTATGCCTTAAAATTTACATATTTACATATAAAAATCCCATTCCCAGTAACAAAAACACTGCATTTCTTAAAAGCAAAAAAAAAAAAAAAAAAAAAGACAAAAAGAAAAAAGGGAAAAATTTGTAAGGGTCCATGTGATGTTTTGGATATTGTCTGTGAAAGTAGAGTCTCACAAATGATGAGGCATGTTCCTTCTTGTCATAAGAAATAAATTTTGTTAAGCTCATATGTTTGTGTAAACTGATAACTTATTTTGATGTTTTAACAGATGAATCATCTCCAGCACCTATAGCTGATTGGTCTGAGGAGATGAATGCAGAAGATAACCGTCAATCTGGTTACTACACAGATAGTATTTTGACCGGGAGGGGACCCAGAGGAGGGGGAGGAGGATACAGGCCCAGGGGTAGGGGAGGCAGGTACCCCAGGGGGTCAGGGTACTTTTCCAATAGGTCTTCAGGTAAAATTACATTTGCTGGTGTGAGCTTAGCATTAACAACATTTCTCTTGCTTTTTATGGTAGGATGCCAAATAGATTTATATCAATCTCATTCATCTCATGATTTTTAATTTTAACAAAGACTTTACTGGCAAATAAAGGATTGCATATCATTTTCATTTCATGTTGTATGCATATTAAATTAGTTATTTTATAGTTTGGAATGATAAATTATTTTATAATTTTTTTCATTAACATTTAATACATTTGTGTATATTTATTTTATAGAATTTTTTAGTTCAAGCACTCAAGTACCTGTAGTTGCTTTCCCTAGTTAATGCATTCTTTAACAACTATTTGCATGCATTTTTTTTTCAACAGATTATCATGACCAACGTCGGTATAGATCAGATAGACCCAGTTACTCAACCAGCAGACACAGTATGTTGCTTGTTTCATGTTTTTATTTTGTTTTAGTGCTTATAGTACAGTATAATTTGTCCAAATCAGATACCACTGATTATATGAAAATTATCTGTATTAGACAGGAAAAAAATTAGGAAAATATTTGAGTTATTCCCCCTTATTTTATTCACAAGTACCATACATTTGTTGGTAAAATTTTCTTAAATGATTAAATCATAACATTTTCATGGAATCCCTATATGTATTAATCAGGATTATACATGTGACTTATTGTCAACTTTTCCTTTTTGTTCACAAAGTTTGAGTCTTTAGTCTCAACCTGAGAAGTGAACGGAGTCATAATCTACAAACATGTCTTTATATCATTCAAAAAATAGGAAGCTCAGTATATGCAAGTTAAATAGCACATTTAATGTCAACAAAATTATTATTGCTTTGATAATTATTGAAGTTACATTGAGATTTTTTTTTATAAACATTCTTGTCTTCCCTCCAATGTAAGGGCACCATTTTAAGATAGTTACTAGTAAATTTAGAAAGGAAAAAAAGAATTTTATCAATGTGTAGAATCTCCATTCTTAGCCTCTTGAATTCTTCAGAAGGAAAAAAGTAAACATTTTGGCAGTCCTGAAGATACACTGTAAAGCTACAGTTAATTGTAAATATGAGGGTTTTTCTTCTGATCATGGATTTGTTTACTCTTTTTAATCATGATATAATTATTTCAGTGGCATATGATACAGATGAATCCCGGGATTTACGCTCCCGACGTAGGATGACAGATGATGACGATACAGTATTAGATAACGCCAGTGTCACCAGTCAAGACCAAGACGGTGAGTTGGAATAAAAAAACATAAAAGAAGAAATGTAGCTTGTGTTTAGATCTATAAAGCAATCACAGACACACTATACATGTATTGCTGAGTCCAGGGAAGTTTAAATGGAGATGTTTTTTGACGAGGTAGCTTAAAAAAATTCTAGCTCTCAGATTGGTGATGTTAATTCATTGAATTATATGAATATAACTTAATTAAAAATCAAAGAAATTGGGGTCAGTGGGCTTAATTACCTTTTTGCACTGTCATTCAGCTGTTGTGTTTGATGATGTTGGTTTCATATTCATAGTATGATTTTTAAACTGTACATGGTGAGTAGGGATGAAATGAAATAAATTTGTACTGAGCTAAAATTTGACTAGAGATATATAAACATGATTACATCTGTAGAAATGATTCACTGTTTGAGCTTTAAACTTAAGGAAAAATCAAGTTTAGGACTGATCACAACAATCAAATTTTCATTTTATGGAATTATAGATACAAGATGCAATTCAGCCACATTATGTATGGCAACTTCATGTTCTGATTTCATAGCAAAACTAACTCTGAGATATTTTCTATTTATAGATTATAGAGATCAACAGAGACCCAGGAGAAAACGAAGGAATAGAAATCGTCCCTTTGGTAACGGAAGTGCTGCATCGGGTACAGAAACGGACAATAGTGTTTCTAATTATCGGCCATCTGGAGGTCGGCCATCACAATTTCAGAATGACACTTCTCATAACGTGAATTCAGTAAAGACTGAACCATCAAAAGTGAAAACAGAACTTGAATCCAAACCGTCTGGGCCGTCCAAGGAAGGTAACAGTAGTAATATAGGTAGTACAAAGCCTGTCAGTCAGTCCAATAAACCAAACTGGAAACCAGGATCAGCTCCGCCTCGAGAACAAAGAAAACCTGCCCAGAAGTACTCATCCTCAGCAAGGAATGGAACAAGTGGCTCAGAATCCGATTCTAAAGCCGCTAAAACCAAAAACAATTCTTTTAGTAGTCAACCAAAAGAGCAAATCGTTAATGGAGAGTAAAAAAAGTGCTTAATTAGCCCTGATAGGAGAAAAAAAATGGAGGATAGCTGCTCAGTGGAGCAGGTCATCCTTTTCTTCCTCCTTCCACAGGAGAGTGCTTTGTTACCTAGGAAACCATTCATGACATTGTTTAGTGTTTGAGAATTAATATTTAAGGAATCTGTTGTCTCTTTGGAGATAGTGTTTGCTATGCAATATTTGTCAGTTTGCCCATAATGACTGTTGCTGTCTTGTTAAAAAATTGACTTTTAATAGAAATGGTCTGATACCTTTATACATGTATCTGTTGGACTTTATCTTGAACTTTGACCTATGGAATTCCATTTTTTGCTCTGTCCCAAAGTTTTGCATAATAATGTTGATTCAATATGGTGACTCTATTCAGACTTCATGTGTAAAACATATAAAGTTATAGATTTAAAGAAAATTTTGTTAGAAATTAATATTGATGATGTAATAGACTTGAAATGACTCTCATTGATGCTCACATGTAGTAGTGATAAAGTGTATGTCAAAATTAAGTAATGTGACTTAATTATATAAGTGTCTTGGAATGAGTGATACATCAGCTATTAATTAAATATATTTCTGAGCTATGTAATAGTATTCAAAATTTATATGATATACTAGCTTGATATCGTAAAATCATTCATGTAAGTGTTATTAACATACAAATTGACTTTTCCGTTGTCATATCCACATATCTGAATCTCGGATTACTTTGAAATAGCTTATTTTTTGTGTAAGATTTTTTTTTCGTTCGAATGAATGACAACAAAAAAGAAATATAAACTTTCTGTGAAATGTTAACCAGGAGATTAATATCACCAGGAATTTATTTTTTATTTCATTAATTTTGTGATCATAACACAGTAAAGATCGATACATTAATTAATTTTCTGTTTCAAAATCAATTTAAATACATATATGAGGGACATGTAATATTAAAGTTTTTACATTGATTTCAAATAATTTCAAGAAAAATTTGTTTTAAAATAATCATCTGAGATTATTGTGAAAAGATGTAAACAGTGGTTTTTTCCTTTGTTTTTTCAGATGACAATCATTACCGTCTGTTTAAAAGACTACTGTCATATTTTTGTACTACATACAGTTTATCCTCTAGGAGAATGACTAGAGTACTTTCACAGTTTATCCTCTAGGAGAATGACTACAGTACTTTCACAGGGTCAAGACTCTGTTTAATGTTTTATCTTTATTTCTTCCATATCAGTTTTGTAAAACATGAGCAAGATAAAACAAAAAGAGGTCGTCTTTTGATTTTTTTTTTCATTTATTTAGAGACAAAAGATTTATTGTAATGGGTCCTTGAATGATGTGTATTTTGTTTGCAGTGCATGAATGCATTTGCTGGTTTGACTGTGAGTTCAGGTTTAGTAGCTTTTTGTTTGATAGAAAAATCAAAGTCATTTGTGTCCTTACAGTATTTTGATCTGATATTGTTAATTGACAAAAAATATACCAATATACTGGTCATCATTTCTTATTTGTGAAGCATTCTTTTCATTGAATGCTGTCATACAGGGTAGTTCAGAAAATGATACACTGGTTGTATAACAGATTGTAAGCAGAATTTAATATTTGCTATCCAATTTCTTTGTGTATAGAAGTATGAATGTTATTTGTTAGACATTTGTTCATACTACAAAGAAGGAACTGATTTAATTTTTTAAATGCTATAATTTATGATGATAAGTTTGCAAGGGTTTGGCATATGTTGTAATTAAATGTTGAAATAACTCTTAAAATAAGGCATTGTATACTTACACCTGAAAATGGAATAATGTGTGTTGGTGTGCAAAGGGCTGATAACTCTTGCAACACAAAGAGAAGTAACTATTGATACTTCTACAGAATATTTCTATGTGATCTATTTGTTTGTGAATAATACAAACTTAGAAACCAAAGAATTGAGAAAAGTATCTAGACTGCATGTTCTTGTGTGACATGAAGGAGACACGTTTATTTTACTGCCATATCTCAGTGTTAACGAAGGTGTTACATTTGTTTCAGTGTTATTACATTATTACAATTTCATTACATTCATTGCTATTGAAATCAACAGTGAGGTTGTTACACTGCTTTTTTTATTCTCTGAATGAAGTGTGCGGTAGATATTTTTGTTCAGATTGTGAGATATATGAAATTATTGCAAGACTGGCAACATTCTTAATTTATTTCACATCCTAGGCCATTATCTTGTAGATTTTCCTTCCATCCAGTGCGATTTTTATTTCTCTTTTTTTTTTTGTAATAAAATTATTGCTAAGGATTGTTTTGATTGTTATTTTGTTATTGCCTTGTGTCTGAAGGCTGATATGAATAAGGTTTTCAGATCCATCTTATAACATGCCTTATTTTTCAACATTTAGTGCAAAGTAAAATTTTGCAGGAGAAAATGACCATCCTCTCCTATCCCAAACACATATTTAAGTCGACAGTTTTATTGAAGATTTAGACAAGGCACTTGCAAAAAGCAACTTAAAATACTGGGCAAATCCAGTGTACAAATTCATGGTATTTTAGATAATACTGTCAGTATGAAAGAGCAGTAATTTCTCTTCTTTTTTTTTTTTTTTTTTTTTTTGGTTAAAATGAGATGTTACATTAGTGAGTATGTTATATACTGGGATTAGTAGAACTTCTTTGTTTTAAGCCCTAATGAGGGGCTGATACCAGGGGTGCAGGGGAAGGGGTGGTGTTTTAAGTGGGCTTTGTCAATCAGATTTTGTGTAGATTGTATGAGTCATTATCAAATTCTGCAGAAATAATACCCAAGAAGGAATCAACAAATCCCATCTTCTCATGAGTGAATTTGATATCAAAGTTATAAAAAGTAAATTGCTAATCGCCCATCTAGAAATTCCTTATCTGATTTGGAGGGAATCAATGTACAGTGAATGACTGAGTGCCGCAAAGATGGTTTATTTAACAATTTTTTATGACATATTTACGAAGTGTTCCAATTGAAAAAATAAAACAAACTTTTTTTTTATAAAATCACATAGGCAGATACTTCTTGAGTATTGGTCAGTGATTTTTATGAAACGTTTCTTTGTGAAACGTTTCTTTATGTAGCCCTCGGGGGGGGGGGGGGGGGGCCTCCCCCAGTACCTTTGATGCGAAAAAGTTAAATTCTCCAAAAAGATGAAAAAACAGACATAATGTAACAGGAAGGACTAATAAATTTAACATAGTCGTAATTTTTAATTTAGATGATACAATTAATATGAACTCTTTTTTTTTTAATAGTGTTAAATAGCATAACTCATATTATTCAAATTTTTAAAAGAATACATTTAATTATTACGTAATATCTGTAGACTGTTGGTGACTTAAATATAGCAGTTTCCTTAGTATTCTTTGAACACTAATGTTGGACTCTGGATCGATTGCAGTATTTCTCCTAGATGTACCAGTATTTATAAGTGATATTTCGAAGCAATTACATGTAATTACTTACAAACGTACAAATACGTGATTCATGATGTAAATGTCATAAATACTCTTGACCAGAAAAGTTAAAAAATATTTCTTATCGCGAAACATAAACTAAGCCACTAGTCTACATGTAGTAAAATCTTAGATCATGTAGCACTAATATTAGTGCCTTGTTTACTTGAGAAAGTTGTGCTTTATTTATTGATTGCAGTTTTTATTTTGTCTGTTACAGTAAACATCCTGTCAGTTTTTATATACTAGTACATGGGAAACTTTCTTTTGGCAGTTTCTGATAACGATTTTTAAGTCCATTTTTCCTTTTTATGACGATGTATAATTTTCATTTCTATATTACTTGTGTCAGTTTCCACCATACTTGCCATTAACCATCCTTGGGTAAAGGAGACTCCAGTTCCCAAGGAGAAATTCTTTTAAAATAGTAAAAGTACGGGTTCAGTTTTTCATACGGTAGGAATAAGTGCCATTTTTTTTTTAAATTCCTGTAGCAAGCACAAACACTTGAAAAATTCATTTAGATATGCAAGTACCTCCTTATATTACATTTTCTTTTTTTTTTCAAGTCATTTCACTCAAGGGGTGGGTGTGGGGGGCAGGGGCTTTTGTAGGTCCAGAAAAGGATGCAGGAAGATGTAGAAACTTTCTTTTCTTCCCTCATAACTGGTCTGCAGGGCTAAAAATAGTAAATTTAATAAACAAAGATGACCAGTTATGTATAATACTAATGTCGATTCAGATTTTATTCAAAACATGATCCTTGGGGCTACGAAACCGTAAAGTTTTACATGTACATGGAAATATAAAAAGGGATTCTTGAAAACATTTCCACCTACAAGACAAGAGAATAAATCGGTCAAATTAATATTCAGCCATCGTCAAGTATTTGTATACAGATTCGGGATTATATCACAGTAGGAGGTCAGTCAAAAATCTATGTAAGAATTTATAGAACCAACTAATTGGGGGGGGGGGGGGGGGTTATTGTATCATATCATATGGCAAGCGATGTCATATTTAGGTAACCGAGTCACTTAGGTGATCTATTGTTATTGTCCGTCGTCGTGCGTCGGTCGTATACCTTTGACCTTCTTCTTATAAACCGTTAAATCAATTTTAACCAATTTTGTATATAGTATCTATAGATAAAGCGAACTATAATTTCTGAATTTCATGGTCTCTGTCTCCCTGGGCCCTGAAGGGGTGGGGTGGGTGGTGGTAAAACCATCAAAATTAGTATAATCTTCAAAATAGATCTACTTCTTTTTTATCCCTGGACATCAAGAATTAAGCAAAATTGTTGGCATGATTATGCTTGAAAACATTGAGCCCTCTACCAAGATTGAGAAATTCATGGCTTCAGGGTCAGGGGTTCTGGGGTTAGGATGGGCCATTATTGATTATATAGTGAAAATGCATAAATTCTTTGTAAACCTTTTCTGCTCCTGAGTATTAAGCAGACAAACTAAGTGCAATGTTATGATGAGCAAGGGTACCTCTGTTTAAATTTATTGCCCCTGGGTCAGGGGTTCTGGTGTTAGGATTGGGCTCTATTGATCAAATAGTGAAATGCTTTGAAAATCTCCCCCTTTATTCCTTGGCATCATAATGTAATTGACAGGTACATGTATATTGAATAAAAGAATTATACAAGAATTTCAAAGCATATTTTCAAAACATACTTCTGTAGATTTTAATGGTCAAATAGACTTGTAGGTAATGAATTAATAAACAAAAATAATTGAAATAAAAAAAATATAATTTAATTTGTACAATAAATATAAGATAAGGAGCAGAAAATGTGGATTGAAGTTTAATCTTACAAAATTAGTTACATGTTGAAGCATTAAATTGATCTTAAGATTTGTTATAGTAATTGCACCTAATAAAAGTGTAGGAACATTGGCTTCTACAGGCAAGCAATCTACTTTCAGAGTTGTCGCAGATTACCAAACAGACTATTCTATTGATTATCCTATTTCTTTTGTCCGAGCAACATATCTTCCTCTTATGATTTATTTTGCTGAATTATAATTATGATTACCATTCTATGGATCCGCTGCAGGGTTGTATCATACTCAGGTGACCGACAAGGTCCATGGGCCTATTTTTTTTTTCAAATCATTTCACTTGGGGGGGGGGGGGGGGGGGGTTAAAAGGAAAAGATGTCGAAATTTTAAACAGAGATGTTTTCACATTTTCATTTCCATATACAGAATTCTTGTGTCAGTTTCTACCAAACTTACAATAAAGCCTCCATGGGTAAAGGAAGCTCCAGATTGTTCAATTAAGGACAATGCTTCTTCTTTGGAAATAGTAGAAGTACGGGTTACAAGGGAAAAAATGTGAAGATGTGACATTCTCTATTGTGGTACATATTAGGCCTTAATTTCTGAAGTGACTGAGTTCTGAAGGGGTCCATTTACACTCACAAACACACACTCTCTCACTCACACAAACTAAGAGAGAGAGAGAGAGAGAGAGAGAGAGAGAGAGAGTTTGTGTGTGTGTGTGTGTCTGTCAATATTATAAATGTACAAAGAGACTTAGTGTCACAAGAGAATTGTCTAAATAAGGTAATAGAAGTTGTATAGTTGGGAGTGCTGGTAGTAAATTAAAAACACAAAAGGGGGTGTTAAACATACTTTAACCCCTCCCCCAATTTAAAAATGCATGTCCTCCTAATGCCCCCATTGTGGCCACACTTTTGAAACCTGGTATTTGTGGAGTAATTTCTGAACAAGATTTTAGATTCGTCTCCGAAGTCGTGTATACTGCTTTTAATTGATGCCATTATGTTTGTGGTATTATATACACAATGCTAGAAAATGATAGCTGCAAATTTTCTACATATTTATGGATATTTTATAATACTATGCGGGTTAAGACCTCGTTTTATAGATTTCTGTTGAGTAAATGATTTTGTATATGACAAAGTTTATCTAGTCTTTATCATGCCATATTTAATGCCTTTTTTAACCACTATAAATCATTTAATGCCTTGGTCTTTCTGTCAGTTGCATACCATTGATACATTGTATTTCGAATGCACCATTTTCCATATTGTAATATTTCATGTTCAGTTAAACAGCAGGAATGAAACTGGGTAGGTCAACATTTCTCAAATATCCATTTCAGATTTATATAACTCAGATCATGTTCATCTCTCTACCTTCAAAATTTAAACTTGACTTTTTAATTACTTCTAAATTGAATTTAAACGATAACTTGCGGACACAATTTAAGTAAATCATAATAAATGTACATTCATTTGTTATATTTGCTCGGATTGTTATTTGCTGTTCCTGATTATTTTAAAGTATCGGTTATTTCCATGCTTAAAAAACATGCATAGAAAAAAATTATATATCTCCTGGGTTTAACTTTTCTAAATTTCCTGTATTGGAGTTACCTCCCGTTTCAGAGTGCTGATTATGTCAATATATGAAAAGGGGGTGTGCCCCACAAGGAATTCCGGCCTCGATTTCGATTAGCGCAGCAGACGCATTGGCTATTTGCTTATTCTCGCTACAGCAAGATGGCAGAAGCAACAGACTCTACATGTAAGTAGGCAATTTTCTAATGCATTACAAAATTTTATTGTTACGAAAATGATTTAACTGATGAGTGAGCGATGTAGAAAAATTAGTGATTTAATGAACTACACCTTAATTGAAAAGAAGGTAAGATTTTTTCCCTTTTTTATGTACTTTTTTTCAGCACGCAGTTTAAATTATCCTAATTGGGATTTTTAATATATCCGTTTGAAAGAAGCCACGATTTAACGAGCCGAGATTTTAAAATATTTCAAAGCAATGCGGAAACAATCTGCTAAGCTCTTTATGGAATATTTTTTAAAAACTCATTTCCCGGAGCGGAAATTTTTAATTCTTGAAAGATGGAAAGATATGTGATTTGGTTGAGATATGAATATTTTGTTGTCGAGATATCATTGTTGAACGAAACTAGAACATCCTCATTCGTGAAGGTCTTCCCATGGAATGAAAACTATAATAAAATGACGACTCCTCTTATTGATTTTTATGAGAGAAAAAAAAAATTGTCAGCAAGCAAACGACATTTAAGCGCCATATACCAGTTTGAGCAAAAATACAAGAAAAACACGCCCATGTCGTGGTTTGCTTTTCTCTGCCGTCCTGTTGCAGACGGCATCTAATTTTGTCGTCTGCATCCTTGGGGTGCGATGCAGGTTTTTGATTATCCCTACAGTCAGTGATATGTGGATTATAATGCATTCATGTTAAGTGATTACATAACATGCGTGATGAGTAGCAAGGCCAAATGCGCATGTTTAATGCACTGTGAAAAATATCATGTAATATGGATTTGTAACGGGACAGTTTAAGCATATTGAGACATATAAATCATGGTTGTATTGGGTGAAATCGGACTTTAATCTGTGCATTTTGACATTGGTGCGAATAATTTGACAGAAAAACTCTTGGGGCTGTTGATATTACAAATCGTTACACTAATCCCGCATAATACTATCACCTTAATTCAATTTGCTTCGCATTCAGTCGCACTTGTACAGTTATATACCAATGTAATATATGTTTACCCCCGGGCCTAGTCACTTCTTAGTGAGAAATACCACATATACTACTATACGCGCACACGGCTAAGTGGACAAATTACTCGACTTGTTTATATATGTATGTGACATACAGCAAATTGTCTATGTGCCCCCGAAGTAGCCCTCAACGCGATGAAAAGTTCAGAATTCACGGGAATTAGATAAATATTTAGAATTCCATTCAACTACGAACCACATGATGCGTTTATATAAACTTCAAGAAAACCCCCATAACGAAAGACATGTGTAAAAAGTTAACTTGCTGTATCACTTTCGCGTCCCCCTTTCTTTATCTGCCTTATAGATATGGCATCTTTCGGGGGGCGCTAGATGGAAGACTCCGGAGGAAAAACATTGCTGAAAGTAATGACAGACAAAATTATATAACTGCGCACATACTTATATATTGAGTGCTTGGTAAAAATATTTTTTAAAAAAACGCTTCCTAGCAGAACTGAAGAGAGACTAAAGTACCACTCATAATCACAAGTGGTGGCCGATACACTTCAAAAAGAAACGAAGAAAATCTTTCTCTACAATAATTACAACCCCCTTATTCTTTTCCCCCCTAACTTTTAGTTGTATATTTTTTGAAAAGCTCATTTGCGCAACGCGCACCGACTCAATAGCACAGGGTGATATTTTTCCGCATTTTAATTAAGCGTCTAAAAATCACATTTATATTAACTCCTCCGCATTTCGGGCTCTAACCAAATTCACATGCAAAGCGCATTTTGTACTCTTACAAATGGTATTATAATGCTGAAATTTGAGCATATGGATTAATACACCCAGTTCTTGGAAACGTCCGCACCCAAAAACTTTAAAAAAAAAAAAAAAAACTGTCCATTTTGGATAAATTATAATTGGGTTAAACGATTGATTTTCAGTTGAATTCTTTCACTGCCCTTCCGCCTTTCATCTTTCGCATTGAAACAGAATTTTAATGAGTAATTAAAGCGATTACCAATCCTCTGCTTGGATGCTCCAATCCATTAAAGCGTGTTCGATATTGGAAAAACAATATATCTATTGATATAATTTTCAGAGCCCCTCTATCGTGCCTTCGTCAATTTCTTCAGGAATATGTTAGAATTTGAAATCTCAGGCTAATCGATATGAAGCGAGATTCACAGAGCGAATGACTCACAGATTTGTTTTTTTACGAAAAATAAAAAAAAGATCTTTTACGAAATGACTAAATGATATTTTACTCATCAACAGTCATTGGTATAGTTATAAAGTTCGGACAAATCGTTAACGATTTTAGTTTTCTGTAAATCAATTAATATTTACAGGCATTTGCAAAAGAAAATCAAGTGATTCAGACGCCGTGACTCACGCCTCGCTGAGCGGATGAATCGACAGTTATCGTATTTTTCGATAAGCACTGTAGTGATTATTGTTTGTGTATGTATGGAGCATTTTCTTATTTTTTTCCATGTATTTTAGGATAGGCCGATACTTAACACAGGGGGCTCATATCGCAATCATTCCGCTAATTGAAACATTCAGCAAGTGCCTGGGGCTTCCAGGTTTTTCATCCCTGGAAAAGACCCCCCTTCAACCGTAAATGATAACCCTTTTCCACCAGGGAGAAAACCCCTGCGTGTAAATGATGTAACGTTTCAATCAAAATGTCGACCCCCACTAATCTGATCCTCCAAACCAGACACAGTTTTGTATAAATATTTATAATTTCCATGACATCCTCAACATTGCATCGCTGGCGTGTGTTATTTTTCACTGAAGGTAAAGCAATCTAATGATACACAACCCGATTTAAACAGTGGCGCATTCCTCTTAATTCGTAAAATATTATGTATTTATTTGTTCTGCTCTTTTAAATCATTCTTACACGTTTAATTTCTCTTCAAGGCCACAAGGCCAGGTTCAACGAGTCTGGCTCGTCATTTGTCAGTTAATTACCCACGGCTGTTTACAACACTTGATCGTGTTTATTTTAGAAATTGATGACAAAGAGACTGTGTAATGAATTTGATGATGTTAGAGAGAAAGAGAGAGAGAAAGAGAGAGAGAATAGGCCTGATCCCGGATCTGAGTGTAAAAAAATAGCTGCAAGTTTATGAATTATTTCAATAAACATTTTTTCACAGAGTAACCCCTTGTGGAGAGAGAGAGAGAGAGAGAGAGAGAGAGAGAATAGGCCTTATCCCGGACCTGAGTGTAAAAAATAGCTGCAAGTTTGTGAATTATTTCAATAAACATTTTTTCACACCGTGAGTAAGCCCTTGTGGAGAGAGAGAGAGAGTTAGAGAGAGAGAGATTTTAGAATGCACAAGCATATTACACACAGTAGATAAAAATCCCAAAAACTATTATAGTGACACATCGGTTGGAAGTAATGACCCCTCTTAAGGTGACTCACTGGCCATCTTTCAGCTTGGTGGTCTTTGCCCCTTCTCAAGTTATGTGGGTGGTTCGATTGCCTAGGTGTGACTGTACAATTATTTTTCGAGGTTGGGTGGTTAAAACAATGGATTTGTGTCTGAAGGTTATGAATCACGCCAATCAATTTAGACAAAAGATGTATGTCAAAACTACAACCTATTTGCACTTAGACTTTCTGGAGAGTCGTAAATTCCTCCATTTCTAGTGGCACTTTGTGTCTGTGTTACATAAAAGAAATGCACGAACATTTTGGTTTTTTATTTAATTCGTAGAAGTTCTTCTCGAAATAAATGTTTTTCTTAATTCTTGTCGACCTACATCTTGAAGGGAACTAGTCCGTGAAATATGTGTCAAAGTCATGAGTATTTTTTAAAATTATTTAATCATTTAATATTTTATTATAATATATTATTATTTATAGTCCGTGAAATATGTGTCAAGGTCATGAGTATTTTTTAAAATTATTTAATCATTTAATATTTTATTATAATATATTATCATTTATATTGTATTGGTAAGGTAATTTTATTAAATTGTAAATTAAAATCAGGTGTTTGCAACTAAAATTGTAATTCAAGAAGTGCTCACGCAGTTAACCTAAAATAGTTAGGATATCCTTTGTACAACGAAAATTAACCCCTTTTTCAAAATTTATAGATCCGCATTCTGGACGTTCAATGTCCCTTTGATCTATAAATTTGACAGAGCTAAGACAGCCGTAAAATGAATGGGGGCGTCTGGTTGGACCACTATCAGTGTTTACAGTAGCCTGTCAAACCGGCGGGGCATGGCTGGGAGGGGGTGCACGCTTATCGCACGATAAAGCTAATGTTTTAATCATTTCTGTCAGTCATCAGCCCCCGAACTTTCTCTTTTAAAGAGATGAGGATAAGGGGAGGGAGAGATAAGGCGATGATTGATAAGATATATTCTACCTATTCTCTCTCTCTCTCTCTCTCGAGTGATAAAAGGATGGGTGACATATTCCCTCTCAGCATCATCGACAAACCCCCCTACGAATCCGCCTAATTTTGCCAGGTCTGGTCGTGTGTGAAAGCTTTGACATTCTTTGTTCTGGAGGACCCGCTAGAGGAGGGTTAATGATCTGATAATTTACTCCAGTACGGCACAGATGGAGTCTGTGTCGATGAAGAGCGAAACATCTGTAGTACAGTAATGTTTTGATAAGGACGGGTAATGCTACGAATAAGATGTCAAAACTAGTCTCCACGAAGAGACTGAGAAATGGGGTTTTCTCACGTGATTTATGGGAGAATTTGGGGGTCGTTAATGGAAGCTTTTTACTGATAATTTTTAAGTGCTGCTTTTTACTGTATCGATTGTGTATATACTTAAAGATACCAAGTTACTGTGTACTAAAAGACGTAATTTATGTAAATTTCATGTGAAATTTTGTAGGAAAAATATGAATAAAGAATGTTAACAAAAAAAAAAAACCAAATAAATGTCCCAAAGGCTGAAAAGGAAGTACAATTTAGATATTAATTGGAATTTTCTTGAAAAATGTTTCTTTTCATTTATCTGCATGGATGT